TGGCTATGGCGGCCGCGGCCTTGACCGGCACCCGGGCGGTCACGTGACCCGGCGCGGCAGGCGCGGCGCCGGCGCCAGGCGCCGGGGGTGCAGAGGGGGCGGCGCGTGGCGGCGCTCAGGCTCCGGTGGTCGCCAGCGGAGCCTACTTATGGGACTCATCAACATACAGTCCCTACTTCCCAAGACCGTATCGCTGCAGCACGACCACCTCAACAGGCTCGATTACGACGTTTGCGCCATTACGGAGACATGGCTTCGGCCCGCCACTGCGTCCCGGCTGGACCGCTGGTCACCTTCCCCGGGTACGCGCTGTACCGTGCCGACCGGCCCGGCGGCGCGGGTCATGGCGGGGTGGCCTTACTGATACGCGACCATATCACGGCGTCTGTCATCTCTCAGCCGGCCTCAGATTGTGACGACTGTCGACTGGAATCGCTGTGGGTGCGCGTGAAGCCCGACTCCGGCCGGCACTTCTGTGTTGGCGTTGTGTACCGGCCTCCGAGGCGTTCGGTGTCTGCAGTGAACGCGGATATCCAGGAGCTCGAGATGCAGTTCCAGCGGGTTTTGCTGCGACACTCCGGACCTGTATTCATAATGGGGGACTTAAACTGTAATTTACTTGACACAACGAGCAATGCCGGAAAAGACCGTCTTTTAGAAATGTTTCAGTCGTTCTCTTTATCGCAGTTTGTGACGCAACCTACTTTTTCCTCAGGCTCGCTTTTAGATGTGGTGATTTGTAACTCTAGTGACGTCGTAAAACGTGTTCACGCTTTTAAGTGTACTTTTAGCCCTCATTACTTTGTCCGGATACTTTTACATTTACCGAAACCCCGTAAACGGCCAATACGCATTCAAACGCGTGTTCTGAAACGCATCAATGGTCGAAGTTTTCATCATGCTTTGCACCTTGTTGACTGGTCGGGTGTTTTTAGCTGTGCATCTGTTTCTGACAAGTGGTTTTACGTAACTCAGCGTCTTTTACCGGTACTCGATAGGTTTGCCCCGTTGAAAACGGTATCGATCATGAACCCGCGCGCGCCACCTGTCACCCCGGCGACCCTTGACCTGATGGCCCAGCGGAGGGGCGTGCTGCGCCGTGAGGGGAGGTCATCGGCTTTCCGAGAGCTTGACCGGCGCGTCAGGTCGGCGATCAGGCGTGACAGCCGAACGGACATCGAGGAGAGACTGCGAGAGCAGGGGAGCAGCGCTCTGTACCGTACCGTCCGCCCGCTGATCGCCAGTAAACGGAGCAGCACTGCCGCTCTGCCGACTGCTACACCAGATGAACTGAACTCGCATTTTGTGAATGTGGGGCCCCGTGTTGCTGCCGATCTTTCTAGCCGCGGGGTGCCTCCCGATGTATCTTGTCGCCTACCGCGAGTTGGTGCCTGCGGCTTTCGTGTCGCTGCTGTCACGCTGGCCGAGCTGCGGGAGGTAGTGTTCTCCATGAAGCGTTCTGGTGCGTGCGGGCCTGATGGTATATGTATTCGCATCCTTCTCCTTTGTTTTGATGCCATAGGTCCCATCCTACTCCATATTGTCAATACCTGCCTTACCTCCTGTGACTTTCCCGATTCCTGGAAGCACTCCCTGGTTCATCCTATCTACAAATCCGGTGATCCTACCCTTGTCTCAAACTACCGTCCTATATCCATTGTTCCCATCATGGCAAAAACAGTTGAACGGCTGGTACAGCGGCAGCTGTTTGCCTTCATGTCCGATAACCATCTCCTCTCCCCGTCCCAGCATGGTTTCCGCCGCCACCATTCCACTGAAACCGCACTCCTTTCCGTCACGAACCGTATCTTTTCGAACATGGACCACGGTCATGTCTCACTGTTGTGCCTCCTCGACCTCAGTAAATGTTTCGATGTTATCCCTCACGACCAACTCCTAACCAAACTTCAGCTTTATGGTATCGATCCTTCATGGTTTTCATCTTATCTCAGTGGTCATACTCAGTCTGTCTGCATCTCTTCCTCTACCGGTGACAGAGTAGTTTCCAAGCCTCTTCCCAACACCATGGGAGTCTTCCAGGGATCCGCCCTTGGTCCTTTGTTGTTCACAATCTTCTCCAATGATCTCAGCTTGCACGCGCCGGACGCTCATGTGACCCAGTACGCTGACGACACCCAAATCCTCCTATCCGATGTCAAACGCAACCTTCCTGATCTCATCCTGCGCATGGAGTCCACCCTGTCTTCTTTAGCATCGTGGTTCCATGCCCACGGCCTTAAGCTCAACGAATCCAAAACGGAAATCCTTCTCCTTGGCACCCGCCAGAACACCCGTAACCTACCACCTGTCAGCGTACGGGTCGGTGGCGAGACCATTCAGGAGAGCCCTAGCGTTAAAAACCTCGGTGTGACGTTTGACCGTCACCTCAGCTGGGACGTTCACGTCAGTGACGTGGTTCAAAAGTGCGTCGGCCTCCTGATAGGTCTCCGCCACCTGAGACACTTCCTCCCGCGGCATGTGATGTTAACCATTGTGCAGGGGCTGGTCATCTCGCGCGTGAGATATTGTATCTCGGTGTATGGCAACGGCTCGTCTAAAAACGATACTAGACTGCTTAAAGTAGTCAATTTTGCCGCGAGAGTGGTAACGGGGCTAAAGAAGTTCGACCATGTGTCTCGCGCGCGGGATGACCTGCACCTGCACACGCCTCGGCAAATGTGTGATATGCAGACAGCGATTGCTGCTCACAAAGCCATTTTATATCAAGAACCCGCCGAGCTTGCCCTGCTTTTACATACCCATGCTGACACTAGGAATGATGAGCGTTCGACTAGACAGGACAACTGTTTGCGCCTCTCAGCCGTGCGCACAGCGACGGGGCAGCGCTGTTTTCAGTACCGCGCTGCTAGTCTCCTCAACTCCATGCCGGGAGACGCGAGAAATCTAGACCCCGCGGCATTTAAACGAGCTGTGAAACGTATTTTTACTCGGCGATGACTTGTATGCGTGACTGTGTGTACTGTGTGTGCGTGTGTGTCATTGTGTGTGTGTTTATGCGACATCATTGCCTTGCTCTTTTATTCATCTCTGACTAAGGACACGTAAAAGCTACGCGTTGCTGTAGAGTGTCTGCTATTGTCAAATACAAATTCAAATACAAAATGTGTGGCAAATTCTTTAACTGAACATTGAAGCAATCGCAGTGCATTAACGATTAAAAGTATTTCCTTAATGCGTTATTCACTGTATTTTTAAATGATTCCTACCAGAAAACGTTCCAAGTAGAGGGTGTTGCTGTGTATTTCGCCATCGAAAGCTCCGGCTTCCAGAAACGTCCCACCTCGCTGAAACAAGATAGGTAGTAGGTACGAACTACCTGTAACAAACGACACGAACAACTAGCGAATTAAACATCTTTTGCACATAATAAATTGAAATTATGATTTTAAGAAAGAGAGAGGAGGAGGAGGAGGAGGATGAGGAGGAGGAGGAGGAGGAGGAGGAGGAGGAGGAGGAGGAGGAGGAGGAGGAGGAGGAGGAGGAGGAGGAGGAGAAAGAGGAAAAAAACAAAAGAAAAGAGCGCGAGAGGCCTGGCCCTCCCACCTTCAAAAAAGTTAATGAATTGGATGAATGATGGCGCTCGCTTCAGAAAGAGCGAAACCAAATAGGTATCTACCAAATTTCACCGAAAAATATTCACCGGTTTTCAAGATATTATATTTTTACTTTTGCTTACTTTTTGGGATCTCCGCTGTTCCTAGCGACGTTATTTGGAAGCAATAGTTTGGCAGCTGAAAGTAAATTTAGGTCTTTTTAGCTTTTAACTTTAGTAAGTATCCGGCTGCTCTATAACATTAACAATATACAATTTTTGTTAGCGTTAACTTCTACGTTGGCGTTACCTCAGCTGCCACGCTGAAAGGACAAACACTTAAGCATTTTATTATGAATAATTTAGCCGGAAACGGAGTGGCCGGGCTCCCCCCGCGCCCGGGGTTACCCCGGCTTCCCCTACCTACCTACTCGTACATGTTCGAAGTGCTTTCTCTTTCCGTCAAGTTCTCCACTCGTGCTCGCAGACGGTCCGTGCCCCCGGGCGACAGGCGCCGCAGCGGGGTGGAAAGAGTAAGGGAGAGCGGCAACCTACCCGACCTGCCCGGTCACTCTCTCATGGCTCACTGCCGTCACGTGCTTTGGGGCTCTCAAACCACCGAGCTCCCGGCCTTCAGTTCGCCGGGCCGCTTTCTCATGGCGCGGCTGCTTACATAGTAAGCTCGCGCCACTGTTTTCGCGAGGATCCTCTGATACGCCTAACTGAATTTTGATTTTTAACCCCCCTGGAAAGCCGGGGGAGCAGCCGGTGTCGATGCAATAGATATATGAGGATGAGTCAACGTCATCTCTTCCTGCAACGTTTACGTCTGGTCATACAGACTACTTTCAGACATTTTATGGAGCATAATTAGAGCATTGACATGCATGTGCGCGCGGAATAAATTGATGATGGTTTGCTTGAGCCCACGTTCTGTGACCAGCCGACGCAAAATTACCACGCAACCTACATGACATGGAAAAGTTTTCATAGCCTATATGCATGTCCAGAAATTATCTTAATCACTCAAAAAACAGTCGGTCTAGAGGAAGTTGAAATTTGTCCCAATTTATCTACCCCACCCTGTGGGTCCTGGAATAGAGCGAGAGGCTGAAGACGCTTTGTCTATATGATAACATGCTTATTTTCTAAATTTATATTTGGACTAGGTGTAAACCAAACCTCCCGTAACTACTCAGTACCTATTACCCCATGGAAAACAATGGTTTAGTGGCATTGATTCGGTTGGGGGTAAGCTCGGCCACTCGCCCGGGGCTACCAAAATGTGCTAATTTTATCCAGAATTGGAGGATCAAAAGCAAGCGATAGCATTTATGCCTGCCAGTGGGGATAGCATTTCCGTTGCGCCTCTGCTGTTCTCCATTGCTTGGCGGGGGACGTGTTCAGGGTTCACTGTTCCGCGGCGGAGGCCGGCCGGCGGGCTTACCCTGCTGCCGATGATGTCCAGCAGGTGGGCCTGCTGGCCGCTCTGCGAGCTGTCCCTCTGCTCGGGGAAGCGGAGCTGGTACGGCTCCGAGGAGGGCCCGTCGAGTACGTCCCGCACGGCCGCGATCAGCACCGGGTCGTCCTGACCCAGCACCAGCGGCCCGCGCAGCAGGTCGCCGTAGGTGCGCGGCACCGGCCGCGACAGAGGGTCGCCTGCGGCCGCCACCCGTGCCCGGTGAGCGGGGAGCACACGACGGGAAACGGCCGCCACCCGTGCCCGGTGAACGGGGAGCACACGACGGGAAACGGCCGCCACCCGTGCCCGGTGAACGGGGAGCACACGACGGGAAACGGCCGCCACCCGTGCCCGGTGAACGGGGAGCACACGACGGGAAACGGCCGCCACCCGTGCCCGGTGAACGGGGAGCACACGACGGGAAACGGCCGCCACCCGTGCCCGGTGAACGGGGGGCACACGACGGGAAACGGCCGCCGACAGCGGCGGGCAACATGCACGTCTGCTAAGGGACGCGTGGTGTTCAACGAACCAGTTCTGATTAACAGAAGAATCCTGGTGTAATACTGAATGTCTTTGGAATGAATTGAATATGAAATGATCTTTTACATACTCGCGAATTAGATAGGTAACGTAAAACCACAAACCTGGCAGGATTACGGCGAAGCACAAAATGACTGCCGAGGCGATTAAAAACATCAATACGAGGCGGCCTTTGCTCGCTTTGAGGCGTAACCTTCCCTCCATTTTCTTTTTTTCTGTGGAAAAAATGTAGGTAGGTAGGTAATAATGACCATCTAACGGGCAGGCCACTCTACAGATACCTACATTGTACTTGCATTGGAGATCAACTATGTAAGTACACACCACTCGCCGACCACCGTGTGCGGCGGACCGGCTGCTGCTCTACTTACCTGTGTGAGCGCTGCTGCGGTCGGTGGTCGGCCGCCGTCTCGGTCTGCTCTGCCGGCGTCTGCTGCGGGCCGTCCGCGGCCCTCTCCGGCCGCCGCTGCGCCCCGCCCCGGTCAGCGACCCCGCTCGGCAGCGCTGCTGCAGCGCTGCACCGCCGCCCGCCGCGGCAGGAGCCCGCCGTCCGGCCACGGAGCCCGCTACCCGGCCACCTATCCGGCCACGGGAGCCCGTCAACCGGCCTCGGCAGCCAGTAGTGGTGGAACACCTTCAATTAAGGGGGGGGGGGGGGGGCACTGCCGACTTTTGGTCCCATTCTTTCCATGCAACGCCCATAGGGCTTAGGGCTAATGGTAAAATTATAAAATCAAAGGGGGCACGGTGCCCCGGTGCCCTCCCCGTTCCGCCGCCTATGTCGGGAGCCCGCTACCCAGTCATGGAGCCTGCCGCCCGGCCACACTCCAGTCGGGGTTAACTAAATTAAAACTGCTCCTTTTGCGCGGCCTAGCTTCCATGCCTATATACGGCGCAGCGGGTCGATTCCATGCGCTCGCAATATTATATAGGTACGCCGTGGGCGAGTCTGGCCACAGCTGATGGCGCGGGATCAGACCGTCACCGACCTCTACAGCATGTGTCTGTACTCGCAGCGGTGATGTCAGAAGATCAGGAGCGGCGTCGGGGCGTCCTCGCATCTCAAGTTTGTAATATAGACATAGGACAATTATGTATTGTACATACACCTACCTTAGCTTACTCTAGAGTCTAGGGTAAGGTGCCTAATTAGCGACTCCCGTCCGTTTGAACCGTCATTGCTCACGCTCTGTGGGTGTCACTGTGTTGCTGGCTTAATTTTCGGAGAAATCGTTCATTTTTCTATTAAAATATAGTCAGTTTCTGCTCCAATATTCACTAACTTATTTGTAGTGAGCATTTTGGCAAACCATTGCAAAAAAAAAAACGCTAATAGGGAACTCTTCCCGATTAGCGACCGGGAAGGGTCGCTAATAAGTCTATGGGTTTCCCCATCTTAAAAATGGCAAAAAAATGCGACGCCTGAAAAGATGAAATATGATCTCAAAGAGGTAACCTATACCTAAAGCACTCAATAACTCGAACAGGAACATTTATCCAACACATTTACGTAAGTAAAAACTGATCACGTGATCCACCGAAGGCGAAAAGAAGGCGGAAACCCAAATTTTGCAGGCTATCTTGCATGATATTCGAGGTCCGAGCTGAATTCGGCACCCCTGCAGTCGGTGACGACATTTGGCATCCCCTGCCACACATTGCAAGCTTCAGCAACACCTCATTTTCATTTCTCTCTTTTCCCCTTTCTTTCCCTTCTTGAGCTATTTGCGACCATGCCAGGCGCAAATAGGAAATAAAATAGAATAGTTATATGAGTTGCGACACATTTTTTAACCGCCATGCTGTGCACAGTTGAGCGATTCACTATGGTAAAACGGCAATCAGTTAAAAAAGGAATGTCGATTCAGAATAAAAAAGGTGCATCATCCTAATGTGCATCGCTTTTCATCAGAGAGGGCCAAAACAAATGATGTTGATCAAGACAGCCCATATTCAGCCCAGATTCAGCCCGGATTCAGCCCAGATTCGGGACACCTCCGATCAAGCTGAAACTTGCACACAATGTAGGCCATGACATGCCAAATCCACAGTTCAAGTCATTCGGTGGCACTCCTAGCCGTTTGACCTACAGAGGTCAGCAAAGGTCACGTGGCCCAAATTTGCACAGCAGATTGTGGCCCACCCAGTAGAGCTAGAGTGCTAAAAATGGCACCAATCGACTCGCCAGCATCTAATCTTACTTTCCCAACACTCATTTGACCGCTCAATGTCATGCGATGACCTAAGGTCATTTGTGGGCTATGTCGAAAATACACTTGCACAGCAGTTTTCGAGTAGATGGATTGACCGAATTCCAAATCAAAGCACATCATCGACCCATAGGCCGTAGTCACTTTCCTTAAAAACTGCTTTTCGATATGTCACCCCGTTTGACCTCGGCAGGTCAAAATGTGCAAATAAACGACACTCAATACGTCGCAGCCCGGATTCAGCCCAGATTCGGGACACCTCCGATCAAGCCGAAACTCGCACACAATGTAAGCCATGACATGCCCAATCCACAGTCAAAGTCATTCGGTGGCACTTCCAGCCGTTTGACCTACAGAGGTCAGCAAAGGTCACGTGGCCCAAATTTGCACAGCAGATAGTGGCCCACCCAGTAGAGCTAGAGCGCTAAAATGGCACCAATCGACTCGCCAGCATCTAATCTTACTTTCCCAACACTCATTTGGCCGCTCAAGGTCATGCGATGACCTAGGGTCATTTGTGGGCTATGTCGAAAATACACTTGCACAGCAGTTTTCGAGTAGATGGATTGACCGAATTCCAAATCAAAGCACAACATCGGGTAGCCCATAGGCCGTAGTAACTTTCCTAAAAAAAACGCTTTTTGGTATGTGACCCCGTTTGACCTCGGCAGGTCAAAATGTGCAAATAAACGACACTCAAAACTAGAGTTGCAAAGTTTCCCTACCGCATTACCGGCATGCCGGTAATTTTTCACTACCGCAGGTTTTTTGTGGTATCTGACATGTCTTGCCGGTAGCAAGCCGGTATTTTTTGTTTTGCACAAAAAAAATTATTAGCATATGATTCAAACTTTGGACACTAAGAGGAAAATGTGGCATCTCTTGTAGGGGTAAACTGGAATCAACAATGTAGGTTTTTTAGTATGCCGGTAATTTGGTGGTGTTTTTGCTTTGGGCGTGGTAGCATGCCGGTATCCCCAAAAAAATTTGTGGGGCGGGGCGGTGCCGGTAGCAGACTTTGGGGGAAACTTTGCAACTCTACTCAAAACGTCTCAACCCGGATTCAGCCCAGATTCGGGACACCTCGGATCAAGCTAAAACTCGCACACAAAGTAGGTCATGACATGCTTAATCCACAGTCCAAGTCATTCGGTGGCACTTCCAGCCGTTTGACCTAGAGAGGTCAGCTAAGGTCACGTGGCCCAAATTTGCACAGCAGATAGTGGCCCACCCAGTAGAGCTAGAGCGCTAAAAAAGGCACCAATCGACTCGCCAGCATCTAATCTTACTTTCCCGACACTCATTTGACCTCTCAAAGTCATGCGATGACCTAGGGTCATTTGTGGGCTATGTCGAAATTACAATTGCACAGCAGTTTTCGAGTAGATGAATTGACCGAATTCCAAATCAAAGCACAGCATCGGGTAGCCCATAGGCCGTAGTAACCTTCCTGAGAAAATGCTTTTCGATATGTGACCCCGTTTGACCTCGGCAGGTCAAAATGTGCAAATAAACGACACTTAATACGTCTCAGCCCGGATTCAGCCCAGATTCGGGACACCTCTGATTAAGCTGAAACTCGCACATAATGTAGGTCATGACATGCTTAATCGACAGTCCAAGTCATTCGGTGGCACTCCCAGCCGTTTGACCTACAGAGGTCAGCAAAGGTCGCGTGGCCCAAATTTGCACAGCAGATTGTGGCCCACCCAGTAGAGCTAGAGCGCTAAAATGGCACCAATCGACTTGCCAGCAACTAATCCTACTTTCCCAACACTCATTTGACCTCTCAAGGCTATGCGATGACCTAATGTCATTTGTGGGCAATGTCGAAAATACACTTGCACAGCAGTTTTCGAGGAGATGGATTGGCCGAATTCCAAATCAAAGCACATCATCGGGTAGCCCATAGGCCGTAGTAACTTTCCTTGAAACCTGCTTTTCGATATGTGACCCCGTTTGACCTCGGCAGGTCAAAATGTACAAATAAACGATACGATCAACACGTCGCAGCCCGGATTCAGCCCAGATTCGGGACACCTCCGATCAAGCTGAAACTCGCACACAATGTAGGCCATGACATGCCCAATCCACAGTCTTAGTCATTCGGTGGCACTCCTAGCCGTTTGACCTACAGAGGTCAGCAAAGGTCACGTGGCCCTAAATTGCACAGCAGATTGTGGCCCATCCGGTAGAGCTAGAGCGCTAAAAATGGCATCAACCGACTCGCCAGCATCTAATCTTACTTTCCCAACACTCATTTGACCTCTCAAGGTCATGCGATGACCTAAGGTCATTTGTGGGCTATGTCGAAAATACACCTGCACAGCAATTTTCGAGTAGGTGGATTGACCGAATTCCAAATCAAAGCACATCATCGGGCAGCCCATAGGCCGCAGTAACTTTCCTAAAAAAACGCTTTTCGATATGTGACCCCGTTTGACCTCGGCAGGTCAAAATTAGCAAATAAACGACACTCAATACGTCTCAGACCGGATTCAGCCCAGATTCGGGACACCTCCCGATCAAGCTGAAACTTGCACACAATGTAGGCCATGACATACCCAATCCACAGTCTAAGTCAAACTGCTGTGCAAGTGTATTTTCGACATAGCCCACAAATGACCTTAGGTCATCGCATGACCTTTAGAGGTCAAATGAGTGTTGGAAAAGTAAGATTAGATGCTGGCGAGTCGATTGGTGCCGTTTTTAGCGCTCTAGCTCTACTGGGTGGGCCACAATCTGCTGTGCAAATTTGGGCCATGTAACCTTTGCTGACCTCTGTAGGTCAAACGGCTGGGAGTGCCACCGAATAACTTGGACTGTGGATTGGGCATGTCATGGCCTACATTGTGTGTGAGTTTCAGCTTGATCGGAGGTGTCCCGAATCTGGGCTGAATCCGGGCTGCAACGTATTGAGTATCGTTTATTTGCACATTTTGACCTGCCGAGGTCAAACGGGGTCCCATATCGAAAAGCAGTTTTTAAGGAAAGTTACTACGGCCTATGGGATACCCGATGATGTGCTTTGATTTGGAATTCGGTCAATCCATGTACTCGAAAACTGCTGTGCAAGTGTATTTTCTACATTGCCCACAAATTACCTTAGGTCATCGCATGACCTTGAGAGGTCAAATAAGTGTTGGGAAAGTAAGATTAGATGCAGGCGAGTCGATTGGTGCCATTTTTAGCGCTCTAGCTCTACTGGGTGGGCCACAATCTGCTGTGCAAATTTGGGCCACATGACTTTTGCTGACCTCTGCAGGTCAAACGGCTGGGAGTGCCACCGAATAACTTGGACTGTGGATTGGGCATGTCATGGCCTACATTGTGTGCGAGTTTCAGCTTGATCGGAGGTGTCCCGAATCTGGGCTGAATCCGGGCTGCGACGTATTGAGTGTCGTTTATTTGCACATTTTGACCTGCCGAGGTCAAACGGAGTCACATATCGAAAAGCAGTTTTTTTAGGAAAGTTACTACGGCCTATGGGCTACCCGATGATGTGCTTTGATTTGGAATTCGGTCAATCCATCTACTCGAAACCGCATGACCTTGAGATGTCAAGTGTTGGGAAAGTAAGATTAGATGATGGCGAGTCGATTAGTGCCATTTTTAGCGCTCTACCTCTACTGGGTGGGCCACAATCTGCTGTGCAAATTTGGGCCACGTGACCTTGGCTGACCTCTGTAGGTCAAACGGCTGGGAGTGCCACCGAATAACTTGGACTGTGGATTGGGCATGTCATGGCCTACATTGTGAGCGAGTTTCAGCTTGATCGGAGGTGTCCCGAATCTGGGCTGCAACGTATTGAGTGTCGTTTATTTGCACATTTTGACCTGCTGAGGTCAAACGGGGTCACATATCGAAAAGCGGTTTTAAGGGAAGTTACTACGGCCTATGGGCTACCCGATGATGTGCTTTGATTTGGAATTCGGTCAATCCATCTACTCGAAAACTGCTGTGCAAGTGTGCAAGTGTATTTTCGACATTGCCCACAAATGACCTTAGGTCATCGCATGACCTTGAGAGGTCAAATGACTGTTTGGAAAGTAAGATTAGATGCTGGCGAGTCGATTGGTGCCATTTTCAGCGCTCTAGCTCTACTGGGTGGGCCACAATCTGCTGTGCAAATTTGGGCCACGTGACCTTTGCTGACCTCTGGCTCTGTAGGTCAAACGGCTGGGAGTGCCATCGAATGACTTGGACTGTGGATTGGGTATGTCATGGCCTACATTGTGTGCGAGTTTTAGCTTGATGGGAGGTGTCCCGAATCTGGGCTGAATCCGGGCTGCGACGTATTGATCGTATCGTTTATTTGCACATTTTGACCTGCCGAGGTCAAACGGGGTCACATATCGAAAAGCGGTTTTTAAGGGAAGTTACTACGGCCTATGGGCTACCCGATGATGTGCTTTGATTTGGAATTCGGTTAATCCATCTACTCGAAAACTGCTGTGCAAGTGTATTTTCGACGTAGCCCACAAATGACCTTAGGTCATCGCATGACCTTGAGAGGTCAAATGAGTGTTGGGAAAGTAAGATTATATGCTGGCGAGTCGATTGGTGCCATTTTTAGCGCTCTAGCTCTACTGGGTGGGCCACAATCTGCTGTGCAAATTTGGGCCACGTGACCTTTGCTGACCTCTGGCTCTGTAGGTCAAACGGCTGGGATTGCCACCGAATGACTTGGACTGTGGATTGGGCATGTCATGGCCTACATTGTGTGCGAGTTTCAGCTTGATCGGAGGTGTCCCGAATCTGGGCTGATTCCGGGCTGAATCTGGGCTGAATATGGGCTGTCTTGACGGACATAAACACATGCACGTTTTGGATAAAAACTCGATATTTTATTTAAAGGGACCCTCCCACCTTAAAGGGACCCTCCCACCTTAACATTAGTTTTGAGTTGAGATAGCCAAGTTTGCGGCCAGGCTCAGAAACCACCATTTATGCTGGTCGCAACCCCCGCAGCTTTATGGTGTTCAAGAAATTTCTTCCCTTTACTTGCAGGGTGGGACCAGCGTGGTCCCTATCTCTTAACCATTACGGGAGTCTGATGACGTCATCAGGCTTTCGAACGTCCGTTAAATGTTTGACTAAAACGTTTTGTAGCACGCGGTGGTATATGCTGCTTTGCGCGCAACAAATGCCGCACTTTCAAATAAAGTCGCTAGGAACAGCGGAGATCCCAAAAAGTAAACAAAAGTAAAAGTCTAATATCTTGAAAACCGGTGAATATTTTTCGATGAAATTTGGTAGATATTCGTTTTTGCTCTTTCTGAACCGAGCGACATCACTTTCATGCCAATTCATTAACTTTTTTGAAGGTGGGAGGGTCCCTTTAACATTAGATTTGAGTTGAGATAGCCAAAATGGGGTCCCTGGCTCACAATTACCGGTTTCGGTACTCACAACATCGAGAAATGCCTTAAATCGGAAATATTGAATTTCAAAATTGCAGCATTTTGATTCAGAGGGGCTAATGCTTAGGAATACCCCTCTGAATGTGTGACGTCTCACGTCAGCGCAGATATCTAACGATTTTTAAATGTTTGACTAAAACGTTTTGTAGCACGCGGTGGTATATGCTATTTGCGCGCAACATCTGCCGCAAACGCCGCACTTCTAAAATAGAAGTCGCTAGAAACAGCGGAGATCCCAAAAAAGTAAACAAAAGTAAAAGTCAAATATCTTGAAAACCGGTGAATATTTTTCGGTGAAATTTGGTAGATATTCGTTTTCGCTCTTTCTGAACCGAGCGACATCACTTTCATGCCAATTCATAAACTTTTTGAAGGTGGGAGCCGGGAGGGTCCCTTTAAACTCACCTGAAACGTCCCACCACTCACCAGAAACATCGACGACTGTCACCGTGCGTATCAGTAAGTCGAAAGCATAGGATTCCTTGCAAGTGTTGCATGGGTTACTTAGAACTATGTTTTGTGAAGGCTCATCGTTTCAGTTCCATCTGTTCTCTCGCAGCCCTGAGCCCGTTGCGGGGTATGAAGGGCCGCTTGGTGTCATCTGTTTTTGGCAGTGTTTTAGTGTTGTAGATGGTATGCTCAAGTAAACAAGCATCCTTGAAGAAAGGTTGCGTCCAAGTTGCGTCATTATTGTGCATTATATTTTCTCGACCACGCCGAGGGCAAGAAGCAAGCAAGAAGTGGCCCAAGAAGTGAACCAAGGCTACTTATAAAACCCAATAAATATAACCACAAGATAAAACCGATAGAACTTGGCAAGAACCACGCTTATTAGAGGAGATTTGTTGGGAAAGGCGAGCACGTTGATTATTGGGTTTCTTTGTGATAAGCTTATATGGAGACAGCACTTCATTGACTGGGTGAGGAGTTAGGAAATGACCAGAATCGACGTCTGTATACTTAGCGAATTATTGACATTGACGTTCAGCGACAGATTCGCGGACCCCTAGGATTCCGCTGAAAATCACTTCATTGACAACAGTTCATGTTCCAATCTGATGAAGTGTTCTCATTGCCTATTTATGATTTTGAGCACCATGTAGTATGATATTGGCATTCACAGATGTGCAGGTATCAGAGTAAATAAAGCATTTGCTGGGAGTGTCTCTCTCTCCCTGTCTCTTGTTTGTCGGTCAGTCTCATTCTTGTTTACCTACATAAATTTAGCTTAATTGTAACGGTGGACAGACTGGCCGAGCCAAGGCCCACAAAAGGAGAGCTTGTTGCATGGGCCCCAACCCCTAGGTACCATGTATTTGCACAATGCCCTGTACCAACTTAGCTATGGGACAGAGCTGTCCTTCGCTGTCTTTGTCTGCCTCCTGACTTGTCTGTCTGTCTGTCTGTCTGCCTGTATGTGTGTGTGTGTGTGTCTCTCTCTCTCTCTCTCTCTCTCTCTCTCTCTCTCTCTCTCTCTCTCTCTCTCTCTCTCTCTCTCTCTCTCTCTCTCTCTCTCTGCTCTCTGCTCTCTGCTCTCTGCTCTCTGCTCTCTGCTCTCTGCTCTCTGCTCTCTGCTCTCTGCTCTCTGCTCTCTGCTCTCTGCTCTCTGCTCTCTGCTCTCTGCTCTCTGCTCTCTGCTCTCTGCTCTCTGCTCTCTGCTCTCTGCTCTCTGCTCTCTGCTCTCTGCTCTCTGCTCTCTGCTCTCTGCTCTCTGCTCTCTGCTCTCTGCTCTCTGCTCTCTGCTCTCTGCTCTCTGCTCTCTGCTCTCTGCTCTCTGCTCTCTGCTCTCTGCTCTCTGCTCTCTGCTCTCTGCTCTCTGCTCTCTGCTCTCTGCTCTCTGCTCTCTGCTCTCTGCTCTCTGCTCTGCTCTCTGTCTCTCTCTCTCTCTCTCTCTCTCTCTCTCTCTCTCTCTCTCTCTCTCTCTCTCTCTCTCTCTCTCTCTCTGTCTCTCTCTCTCTCTGTCTCTCTCTCTCTCTCTGTGTCTCTCTCTCTCTTCTCTCTTCTCTCTCCTCTCTCCTCTCTCTCTCCTCTCTCCTCTCCTCTCCTCTCCTCTCTCTCTCTCTCCTCTCTCTCTCTCTCTCTCTCTCTCTCTCTCTCTCTCTCTCTCTCTCTCTCTCTCTCTCTCTCTCTCTCTCTCTCTCCTTTCTGATATTTAATATAAAATGTGCTTGTCCTCTTTTCATTATTTTGCTTACTCATAAAAAGAAAATCATTAACTTGTAATGCTTTTGGAAATATGGCTGAATAATTTAGTAGGTTAAATAAAACAGGTGTACTACTGATGAGCTGGCTATGTTCAGTTATGATGCTTTATGCAGTGGCTTTGTCTCTGTTTCAGTGTTGCTGTCACTGAGCTGCTGAACTGTGGTCGGACTGGCCCGAGTCTCGGCACCCAGCGGCTGCTGGCCGGAGGAGCTGTGATGGCTGACGAGAGCCAGCGTCCGGCGGCGGCGCGGCCGGCGCCCGGCTCCCAGCAGGAGCTGCCGCCGCCGCCACGGCTGGTCCGATACGGCGTGCCGCCCGGCCGGCGACCACCCAGGTACGGCGCCAGACAGACGGCTAGGGGCGCCGGACAGACGGTAGGGGTTCGCGGAGCAGACGGTAGGGGTTCGCGGGGCAGACGGTAGGGGTTCGCGGGGCAGACGGATAGGGGGCGCCGGACAGACGGGTAGGATTGCGAGGCGGACCATCACCAGTCAGGTGGGGGAACGGGTCACTTAACGGTCAAAAGTAAAAATAAAGAGAATATCGCACCACGTGAGTCATGTTCCCAGATCTGGGATATAGCTGCTTTTCCTAAATTCGTTTTAACAGCCCTTATATACACATTCACGTTGTCTACCTCAGTACCTGAGGGATAGGCAAATCAGATTAGATTATGTCTGTTTTTGCACTGGACTTATTTTCAGTTATCTGGATGCTTTCATTGGGTGCTTGCCATTGTTCTCGCTCACATGCCTGTTGAAATCGCTGAGACATGGACGGCTGCCAGCGGGATGAACACACTACCGGCAGACCGCCGGGCCGGGGTGGGGCCTCCGTCCCGTCACTGGCCACCGGCCGGGGTGGGGCCTCCGTCCCGTCACTGGCCACCGGGCGGGCCGGGGAGGTGTTACCGTCCCGTCACTGCCCACTGAGCCGAGACGCTGACCTGTGCTGTGGCTGACCTGTGCTGTGCTCATTAACGCTGACCGGCGCCGTGCCCAGTGCTCACTGGCGCTGACCGGTGCCGCGCCCCGTCGCCACTGGCGCTGACCTGTGTTGTGTGCACTGCCCAGTCGCCGCTGACGCGCCCGCCTCCCTCCTCAGCCGGGAGTCGGCCGGCGGCGGCGGTGTGTCTGCGCTGCTGGCAGTCTCCAGTCGGATGCCCCGCGAGGACATCCGACTGGAGACGGAGCGGCGACAGCAGCTGGCACACTCCATCCAGCTGCTGCAGCAGAAGGCGGCCCGTCAGCAGCGCGAGGTGGGTGCCGGAGGGGAGCGAGCGGTGGCGCGGCTCAGGGCCTCGTGTTCTCTGCGTCACCCATGGTGTCACCGCCGTGTGCTGATTAGTCACATTCATTACGTCGCCGCCGGCAATAACACTGGCGGACCATGTCACCATAGGCAGTCGGTTTCCCTGAGCTTCGTGTCGCCGGTCCGGGAGAGAGAGAGCGCACGGTCACCTTTCCTGAGCTCTGACCGGCGGTGGGTGTACCGCAGGCTCGGCAGGGGATGGCGCTACCGACCGGTCGGCCGCCGCCATCGGCTCGGACTCTGCCCGTCAGCCGTCAGCCGCCGGCCGCGCCAGGTACGACCACCGAGCGGAGGGGCCGACAGACCGGCAGTGGGGACTGGTAGACCGGCAGTGGGGACTGGTAGACCGGCAGTGGGGACTGGTAGACCGGCAGTGGGGACTGGTAGACCGGCAGTGGGGACTGGTAGACCGGCAGTGGGGACTGGTAGACCGGCAGTGGGGACTGGTAGTCCGGCAGTGGGGACTGGTAGTCCGGCAGTGGGGACTGGTAGTCCGGCAGTGGGGACTGGTAGACCGGCAGTGGGGACTGGTAGACCGGCAGTGGGACTGGTAGACCGGCAGTGGGGACTGGTAGTCCGGCAGTGGGGACTGGTAGACCGGCAGTGGGGAGTGGTAGTCCGGCAATGGGGACTGGTAGACCGGCAGTGGGGACTGGTAGACCGGCAGTGGGGAGTGGTAGTCCGGCAATGGGGACTGGTAGACCGGCAGTGGGGACTGGTAGACCGGCAATGGGGACTGCATGAGGTCATTAGGGACTGATACACAGACGAAGGGCTGTTAGCTCAGCAGATGGACTGATGGACAGCAGAGGAGGCTGTCGGGAGGGTATTGGGGACCGGTAGACCGGCTGGGTGGTTCTCTGCATGCAGCAATACTGGTGCCATGTATAATTGCATACCGTGTTTGCTGCTTGGAGAAAAGTCATGTTTTTTTGTGACGCCTCTACGCTTCCTGTTCTGTCGGACGCATTTTTGCGCGTAACATCGCGTTGCCACGTTCTCTCAGTAGTATCGGCTTTATTTCTTCTGCGATGCTGACCGTGCCGTTCCACCTCCGTCAGGTTCAGTGCCGCCCGGCACGGGTCCTCCCTCGGCTGTTGGGAAGGCCCCCAGGGCGAGGCCGGGCCCTCCGAGTCTCCGCGGCCCGCCGGCGGCGGCAAACTCGGTCCGGGCGCCGGCGGCGGAGCTCGGTCCGCTGGACAGTGGCGCCGCTCCTCGCCAGAGCGGCCCTGTCGACCAGGCGGCCACTAAGCGACCCGCCGACCAGCCGACCGACCGACCGGCGGCCAAGCGCGCCTGTGTGCGGACCGGTCCGGGGAGCACAGTGCCGGTGAGCCCCACCGGCCCCGCGCCGGCCCCTTCAGTCTCCGGCCCCGCACTCGCCGACCCAGCCGCCGCGGGGCGCAGTGCCGCGCCCTCTGCCGTACACGTGCCGCCCGTAGCCGCCGACCCGGTGAACGGTGACAGCGCTGCCCGTTACTCTCCCGCGTCAGCCGTCAGTGGCTGCCGCACAACTGCCCCCTCGGCCGCATTCAACCCCACCCGCTCAGCTGCGCCCACGGCTGCTACCTTCTCCACCCCCAGCCCCGCACCTGTCCCTGGCCCTACGGCATCGTCCGACGCCATCCCCACAGCTGCCGACCCCGTCCCCACAGCCGCGACAGACACCGTCCCTGCAGCCCCTCCCGACGCCATCCCCACAGCTGCCGACCCCATCCCCACAGCCGCGACAGACACCGTCCCTGCAGCTGCTCCCGACGCCATCCCTGCAGCTGCCGACCCCGTCCCCACAGCCGCGACAGACGCCATCCCTGCAGCTGCTCCCGACGCCTATCCTGCAGCTGCCGAGCCCGTCCCCACAGCCGCGACAGACACCGTCCCTGCAGCCCCTCCCGACGCCATCCCCACAGCCGCGACAGACACCGTCCCTGCAGCCGCGACAGACACCGTCCCTGCAGCCCCTCCCGACGCCATCCCTGCAGCTGCCTACCCCATCCCCACAGCCGCGACCGACCCCGTCCCTGCAGCCGCGACAGACACTATTCCTGTAACTGCTCCCAACCCCGTCCCCACAGCTGCCGACCCCATCCATACAGCTGCAGCCGACGCCATCCCTCTAGCTGCTGAACCCGTCCCAACAGCTGTAGCCGAACCTATCCCTGCAGCTGCCGACCCTATCTTTACAACTGCCCTCGATCCCGCTCCTGCAAGTGTTACCAATCCCATCCCTACAGCTGTCTCCCAGTCCATCCCTATAGCTGCCGACCCCATACCTACAGCCGCCAAAGACCCCATCCCTACAGCCGCCAAAGAGCCCGTCCCTACAGCTGCGGCCAACGCGATCCTTGGAGCTCCCGACCCAGTCCCCACAGGTGTGGCCGAACCCATCCCTGCGGCTGCCGACACCATCTTTACAACTGCTCCCAACCGCATCCCTGCAGCTGCCCTCGACCTTGACCGTACAGCTGTCGACCCCATCCCTACTGCTGCCGACCACATCCCTGCAGCTGCTGACCGCATCCCCACTGATGGCGCCCCCATCCCTATAGCTGCCCCCGACGCCATCCCTGCAGCTGCCGCTCTCGACGCCATCCCTACAGCTGTGGCCGACCCCATCCCTACAGGTGCCGATCCCGTCTTCGCAGCTTCTCCCGACTGTATCCCTGCAGCCGCCAAAAACACCATCTCTTTAGCTGCCCCCGACGCCATTACTACAGCTGGCGCTCTCATCCCTATAACTGCCGCTCCCGACGCTATCCCTACAGCTGTGGCTGACCCCATCCCTACGGCTGCTCCCGATGCCATCCCTGTAGCTGCCGACCCCGTCCCTACAGCTGCGGCCGACCCCATCCTAACAGCTGCCGATCCCATCTTTACAACTGCTCCCGACCCCATCCCCACAGTTGCCGACCCCATCCCTGCAGCTGCCGACGCCAATCCTACAGCGGCCTATGAAGCCATCCCTGCAGCTGTTACCGATCCCATATCCGCAGCTGTGCCCGACCCAATCCCTGCAGCTGTCCGCGACCCCGTCCGTGTGGCTGCCGACCCCGTTCCTGCAGCTGCCGACCCGATCCTTGCAGCTGCTCCCGACCCAATCCCTGCGGCTGTCCCCGACCCAATCCCTGCGGCTGTCCTCGACCCCGTCCCTGCAGCTGTTCCCGACCCCTTCCCTGCAGCTGCTGACCCCGTTCCTGCAGCTGCGGCCATTCCTTTCCCGTCCACCGCTGCCAGTCCCACTCATAAGGGCAAGAAGGCGTGGCTGAGTCGCTTGGCGAGCTGTGAGGTGGCGGACGGTCCGCGGGAGGGTGGTGTGCACGGCGCCCCCGTCCCGGCAAACACCTCTCCTCAGGGACCGGCGGACGGCACACCGGCCGAGACCGACGGAAAAAACGCCGAACGGAGCGGCTGGAACGACAGAGACAGAGACGGCTGGTGCAGCATGGACCGAGCCTGTTGGTGCAGCAGAGACTGAGACGGTCGGAACGACGGCAACCGAGATGGTTGAAACGGCAGCGGAAAAGCCGGCTGGTACAGCGGGGACAGAGCCGGCTGGTACAGCGGGGACAGAGCCGGCTGGTACAGTGGGGACAGAGCCGGCTGGTACAGCGGGAACAGAGCCGGCTGGTACAGCGGGGACAGAGCCGGCTGGTACAGCGGGGACAGAGCCGGCTGGTACAGCGGGGACAGAGGCGGCTGGAACAGCGGGGACGGAGCCGACTGGAACGGTACCGACAGAGGTGCCGGGGGCAGAAGGGACTGGATCGATCGGATCAGTACGGACGGAGGCGGCTGGTACAGCAGGAACGGAGGCGGCTGGTACAGCAGGAACGGAGGCGGCTGGTACAGCAGAAATGGAGGCGGCTGGTACAGCAGGAACGGAGGCGGCTGGTACAGCGGGGACAGAGGCCAGTGACGCCGCTGAGACAGCTCCGGGTGCTGCGGGAGGGCCGGAGGCGGACGGCACAGCGCCGGCTGAGCCGGCCGGGGCGGGTGGCTGGCCGGAGCAGACCGGGACGGAGACGGAGGGCTCCTCGCCGGCCGAGGTGGACGGCTCGCCGCCAACGAACGGCGACCGGACGCCGCCGGCGGCGGGAGACAGTTCCTCGGGCGACGGCGACGCGGCCGCGTCCAACGGTGTGCTGGCGCCGCGCGCCGCCGCCGCCGCCACCAAGGCGGCCGCCGCCATCAAGAAGAGCCCCGGCAAACCGAGGAAGAGGTCGGCCGCTAGCCCGGGCGGGGAGGCCGTGAAGCGGCCCTCCGTGATGGCACTGAAAAAGTCGGGCGAAAAGTTCACGCAGACCAACTTTTGCTGTCAGATCACGTACAAGCTGCCTCGGTGCCGCGAGTGCCGCGCGGTGCCCACCCAGCGACACAACAAGCCGTCGGGCATCTACTGCCGGTTCACAGCGTTCCGCAAGGTGCGTTACACGCGCACCGGTCAGCTGGCCGTGGCCGGCTTCTGCGACCCGTTCACCGACTCTGGCGGCGAGAGCGACCGGCTGTGGCGCGCCAGCGCGGCCGGCCCGCCCACCATGCAGCCTGAGATCGCGAAGTTTCTGCTGGCGCACGTCGGTAACCAGTTCTGTGACCTGGTGTCCGAGGAGGAGGCTGCGCGTCGCGCGCACATGGGCGACGACCAGACGGTCGCCTGGAAGCGGGTCGTGCAGGGCTGCCGCGAGATGTGTGACGTGTGCGAGACGACGCTGTTCAACGTGCACTGGGTGTGCTCGCGGTGCGGTTTCGCCGTCTGCGTGGACTGCTACCGGGGCCGGCGAGACGGCACGGCGCGCAGCTTCGGCGACCCGCCGCCGGAGCGCGACCAGTTCCGGTGGCTACTGTGCGGTGCGCGGCCGCACCAGCAGGAGCGGCTGATGCTGACGCAGATTGTGGCCGGTGACGCACTGCAGACACTGAACCGACAGGTGCACGAGGCGCGCCAGCTGGCCGGCCTGCCGCTCAGCTGCGACTGCGAGCTGGCCAAAAAGCTGCAGGCCGAGGCGGCCGAGACCGCCGCCAAAGCCGATGCCGTGAAGGCGGAGCCGGCGCCGGGCGGCGCGGCGCGCCCGCCGGCCGGCGCGGCGCGCCCGCCGGCCGGCGGCACGCTCTCGCTGCTGGCCGACGTGGCGCTCTCCCGGCTGTCCTCAGACGACAGCGACAGCGACTCGGACGGCTCGGACGGCGGCGGCGGCTCGCTGGCGCTGCGTAGGCTGCTCGTGCCTGGCGCGTCGGCAGACGCCAGGCCGCGGCCGGCGCGCAAGGAGCGGCCGCGCCGCCCCGGCTGGTCCATGGGTGACTCGCTGGACGAGCTGCTGGACAAGGTGTCGGCGCGCTGCGGGGCGGCCGCGCCGGCCGGCCACGCGGCCGCCGGCCCGGCGGCACTGCAGCACTTTGTGCGGCGCGCCACCAGCCGGCGCGGCTTCCGCGAGCGGCTTCCGATCCGGATCATGACGCTGGGCGAGTCGACCCGGCTGTACCCGAACGTGCGCCACGCGTGGCTCTGTGACGGGAAGCTGCTGCGGCTGCACGAGTCCACGGCGCCGGACAGCGAGCGCCTGTTCCGCGACCAGTGGAAGCGCGGCCAGCCGGTGCTGTGCTCCAACATCGGCGGCGGCCTGGACCGCTCGCTGTGGTCGGTGGACGCCTTCATCCGCGACTTTGGCGACGTGCGCAACGACCTCATCAACTGCCGCACGGGCAACATCGTGCCCAACCAGCCGATGCGTCGCTTCTGGGAGGGCTTCGAGAGCGTGACGCGCCGGCTGCGCGACGACAAGGGCCAGCCCATGATCCTGAAGCTGAAGGACTGGCCGCCGGGCGAGGACTTTGCGGACATGATGCCGCGCCGCTTCTCTGACCTGATGTCGGTGCTGCCGATGACCGAGTACACGCGCCGGGACGGCCGGCTCAACCTGGCCTCCTGTCTGCCGGACATCTTCGTGCGGCCCGACCTGGGGCCCAAGATGTACATCGCCTACGGGTGCGCGCTGCACCCGAGCAAGGCCTCCACCAACCTGCACCTGGACGTGTCTGACGCCGTCAACATCATGGTGTACGTGGGCATCCCGGCCGACGGCGACGCCGACAACGCCGAGGCGCTGCGGGCCATCGACGAGGCCGGCTGCGACCAGCTGACCAAGCGCCGCGTGCGTGACGAGCTGCCGGGCGCGCTGTGGCACATCTACCACGCCGCCGACGCTGACAAAATCCGAGACCTACTCAACAAGGTGGCCATTGAGCGCGGTGACCAGCTGGAGCCGCACCACGACCCGATCCACGACCAGAGCTGGTACCTGGACGGCCCGCTGCGCCGCCGACTCTACGAGGAGTACCGCGTCGAGGGCTACCCGATCGTGCAGTGTGCCGGCGACGCCGTGTTCATCCCTGCCGGCGCGCCACACCAGGTGCGCAACCTGCACTCGTGCATCAAGGTGGCCGAGGACTTTGTCTCGCCGGAGAACATCGGCCACTGCTTCGACCTGACGCAGGAGTTCCGCTCCCTCTCCGACACGCACACCAACCACGAGGACAAGCTGCAGATCAAGAACATCATCTACCACGCCATGAAGGACGCCGTCTCCTGCCTGCTGGGCGCCGCGCGCGCCGACAGCGCGGCGCCCACCGTGAAGGAGGAGCGCGGCGCGGACGACGCTCTCAGCTGAGCTGCCGGCTGCGGGCGGCGGTCCCGGCTCTGTCTCGCCGAGTGGCGCCGCGGCAGTGAGGTTCGGGTCGCCAGCTGCCGGCGGTCAGGACGGGTTTGGGGTGTGACCCCGGCACCGGCGATCATGGTGGGTCGGAGGTGCCAGGTCCCCGACCCCGGGACCCGGCACCAGCGGTCGGACGGACGGACGGGTCGCAGGTGCCTGGTCCCGGCAGGGACGGTGTCCGTGTGTGTGCCATGGGACGGGATGGCCGGAGTCTGTCTCGGCCGGGACGGGGCGAGTTCGGGCGATCTCTGCAGACCGTGTTGGCGCCGACAGTCGCACAGCACGCCTGGCCGTCATAGGGGCGGTGTTAGGGACGCCAGCGTCCGTCCCTGAACTTCCTTCAGCGCTCCCCTCCCTCCCTCCCTCCCTCCCTGCCTGCCTCTGGTACCAAACACTGCCAGGTCCGCTTACAAGTCAATAAGAAACTCTGAATGCAAGGAAACATTGCTGCAGTCTCCCTGGGACATTGTCGACTGCCTGTTTGTGCCAGGTATCGCCGTGTCTTTGTCTCTATCTCAGACGAGTTGGAGCAATCGAAACATAGCGAAACGACTGGTGGGATGCTGCATCCAGTCCATGAGCTTGAATGTGATTGACATATTTTCGGCCAGAAAGTCGGATGCTGTGAACCTTTGAGTGCAAAAAGCATCTGTCATTTTCGTCACACCGCGTGGTAATGCACTGTCATTATCACTCTGTTGGCAGACCTGTTCTTAGCGCTGTGTACATTGTGTGTATTTGAAGTGGCGTATCGTGCGGTAACGGGGCGCGCAGTAGCTCTGTCGGACTAGCGCCGGCTGCCTGACAGGGCCCTGGCCAGGCCTTTTCCGTTTTATGCGACTGAAGGGGCGCCGGGTGCTCCGCCGCCTTTCGGTACGCAATATAAAATCGTTCTTATTATGTGGGTCTGCGATGACCAGTGTGGAGGTGTTTTTGCCATTTAAATGCGCGTGGTCGCTGGTCGCTGGCTCGTGCGCGGTAAAGTCAGCCAGCTTCGGACACGTCGGGTTAAACTAGCATCGCTCCTTGTCGCTCCCAGCGTATTACCGACCCATTGGGCCGCTGTTGAAGAGTAACTGGGATGACTTGTACGTGTATCTGCCCAGTCATCGGCCATATCACACCACAGTCAATACTGGAACGTAGTGCCGCTATGTTTATTTGATTTCACCACACACACATGTTGACAACTTGATAGCATATTGGCGAACAAAATATAGATATTGCAGGGCTGCACTACCCAGCTGCGCAACAATGACTGCATAGTTATCTATCTGTATCTGCATGCACAGCCTTCGAGCCCGGTCACTCCCCGGGCCTCCCTCTGGTCTGAGCTCGCTGTCCCTGGGCCTCCCTCTGGTCTGAGCTCGCTGTCCCCGGGCCTCCCTGCGGCGGGGGCTCGCTGTCCCGGATCGGTGGGGCTCCTCCAGTCCCCCCCCCCCCCCGCAGCGGATCCACAGCCACCCGACAGGCACGCCAAGGCTAGACCACAGAAAGCAGGACAAGCACTGACTACATACACACGGGGTACACCGAGCGACCGTCGGCGCGCGGCGGCGTCACATGGGTCACAGGTCTGCGTCATGCCCGCGACGCTGACCTACAGTCGGCCATTCAGAGAGCGTCGCGACCAGCGCGGGCGGCGATATGCGACAGCGGCACAGCACGGTACGGGGACAGGGCGGCGGCCAGCCGCACACGGCGCCGACAACGCCGGCTTTGGCACGGGCTTGGCACGCCGGACAGGGCACACGGGGCTTCTGAGAGCCGGGGGAGGGCGGACAGCTACCTCGCAGAGCGGCCGAGGGCGCGGCGCCGCGGGTGTCCTGCTGTTATGAGACGGGATCTGTCGTCTCTGATTCTTCACAGAATCGCACAACTAGGGAGAGAAGGGTACATGGCACTCGGCGACTCCGAGCGGACAGTTTCTTTACGGACCCGCTAAAGGACAATCGGATAAATAGCGTGGGACGCGGGCACGTTTTACTGACTGCAGGCTTTTGACTGCTTATTTGGGATGAGACAATAGCTAGGAATTTGCCACCACTATGATGCCTGACGGTGATCTCAAATGGGACTCTAGATATAGCTTGATCCACCCAGTTTCGTCCGTTTCGGTCTCCTTTTGCCTACCACACAAGAGTCCCGTCAGTATCGTCGCTTGTTCGGTCCGCCAACATATCGGCATTGCCTTTCTGCCACCGTATACAATCTGACACTCCTTACGGCCTGAAGCCCCACCTATTCACTGGTAAGCCCAATAATTGGGTCCAACCTATGCTCAACAGCCAAGTCACATCCCACAGCCCGTATTGGTATAGTCTCGGACTCCGCTCAGCGGCGGTCGTCACAAACAGCGAACGGCGCTGAGGAACGCTTTACCATAGGCAACTATCCAAACGTATCACATTATTAGCACCGGACAACGCTCGTAGGTGCTCAAAGTGAGTGGATCATCCAGTTAAAAGCAAATCTTAGCCCATCAAACCCGCAAAACTGACCCTCAGTCCCGTACAATATCTACAGCTATGGGTGCTAACCAGTAACCACTTCACCTACAGAGACGTTATAGGGTTATGGTCGACATCGCCTGCCGTTCGGTAGGTTACAGAATATAGCCAGAGCAGCCGTCTGCCAGCTGTTTGACCACATCGACCGGTGGGACAGAGACGTAAGCGAAAGGCTGGCTCCGGTGCCTACACGCGATAACTCTTCGCATATGGAAATGTTTTCAGTCGGTGAAAAACCGCGATGCCGCCAGCTGCCCATGTGCTGACTAGCCGATTCTGGGTGAACTTGACCTCCCTCCGCCGGGCTTCGCCTTTACGAGATTTACGGAGGTTTCATTAAAAGGACATTATTACACAAATGAAGCCGGAAGTACGGCAAAGTATACACGCTTGATCCTGCATGGCGAAATCTAGCGTAGGCGCTGGACTGCCGCACAAAGCGTAATTGGCGAGGCCAAAGTGTCTGGCCGCTCGCAGCAGTTTGGCCGCTGGGGCGCCCCGTGCGCCGGTGTCGGCGTTCACCTCACCCGCGGACGGTCAGGGTCAGCTGACGTGGCGCGCGTCAGCTGACGTTGGTGACGTGGTGGCGCGTCACCAGGCCGACGCGCTGGTGGCGCGCGCAGAGCAGCCAGTGACTGTCCGTGGTGCCCACCACGGTCAGCGTGTCGTCGCGGTCGTACGAGAGGAACTGGCGGTTCGGCGTGTGGTACGGGACCAGCGAGCGAACCCTGCGCGACACACAGCGGCGCGTCACGGGCCGGCGCACTGGCGGCGAGCGGACAGCACAGCAGACAGCACAGCGGACCGAGCAGCGAACAGCACAGCGGACCGAGCAGCCAGCTGCCCATGCACGCACAGACAGCACTGAGGCAACATGTGGGCGGCGTCTATGTCTATACCAAAGTTAGGAGTGGCATTCCTCTGCAAAAGAAATAAATCCACAGACGAAATGTTTAACGTGCGAACTGCGTTACTTTGAGGTCGGGCGGTCCGGTTAAGACCATGAGTATTGATGCCCCTTTGAATAAGTATCGGAACTGCCGGGACCCAGGTTTTCAGGTGAAGCTAATTGCAAACAAAGTTAAAGGCAAGTCATTACCCAGACCAGTTTCTTGTCAGGACACAGTTTGACCGAGACGCACCTTTTTCCCTGCCTGCTCTCGGCGGTGGCGGCTCCGGTGCGGCGCGCCGCTGCGGTCCCGGTCCCGGTGCCGGCGGCCGGCCGCAGCGGCCCGCTCCGCGCCGCCTCCCGGCTCTGGTTCGCCTGCTCCTGGTCCCGCTTCAGCACGCGCTGCCGCAGACTGGCCTCCGAGGCCGTCCGGAGGCGTCTGGAGCCGCCAGTGGCCGCCAGCGCCGGCTGGCGGCCGCCGTCCGTGTCCGGGCTCTGCGGGCCCCCGGCGGGGACGGCGCGGCGCCCGGCCGCCGGCTGGGGGTAGCCGCTGTCCGAACTGGGGCGGCGCCCGGCCGGCGTCCCGGACACTCTGCGCGGGATGCGCGACTCGGCCGGCGGAGAGGCGCGGCCGGCCGGCGGCTGCTGCGACTGGCGCTCCCACCAGGGCTGGCTCGAGCTCTGGTCCCTGGTCACCCGCTGCCACCACTCGTCCAGCTGCCGGGCCCGGGCCCTGCTCACCAGCGGCTCCGGCTCCGGCTGCCGCTCCGGATCATAGTCGGGTCCATTCTGCCGGTCTGAATGCCGTTCTGGGAAGTTCTCCCGGTTCTGTTTCGCCGGCTGTGGCTTCTTTTTAGCATCGATCTCCACTTTCGTCTCCTGTTTCGGTTCTGGCCTCAGTTGGGTGTTGGGTTTTGGCCCCGGTTGGCTCGGGTTCGGCTGCACGGCCGTCCGCGCTGGGTCGCGTCCTCTGCCTCTGGGCTTAGTCTTTGGCTCGGTGGCGGTCTGTCTCTGGCCGGCCGGTGCCGGTGCCGGCTCTGCGCGCGGCGCGGCTCCGCGCCCGGCCGCCGCGGCGCTGTTGTCATTCTCGTCTGTGTCGAGCGGCACACACCCGGCCAGGGTCTCGGTGAGCGCGGCCAGCAGCCGCCGGTCCAGGTCGCGTCCCGTCCAGCGCCGCTCCAGCTTGCCGCGGATGGCGGCGGCGGTGACGCGCGCCTGCCGGGCCGGGGGGCCGGCGCCGGCGGTCCGGCCGCCGGACGGGTCGGCGCCCAGCTCCATCAGCCGCCGGCCGAGCCGCCACAGGCTCTGGCGCAGCAGCTGGCTCTCGAAGGTGAGTTCGATGGCGAATCCGGGCCGCGCCAGCCGGCGGAGCTGCAGCAGCAGCCGGTCGGCGTCGGCGGCGCCGAGCTGCCGGACCAGCGCCTCGGCAGAGTAGTGCTTCAGCAGCGCCGGCGGCCGGCCGAGCAGCCAGCCGAACCACCGGTCCAGCGACTGTGTGCTGCCGGCAGCGGACGGGAGTCAGTGGGCAGCCAGCCGAACCACCGGTCCACCAATAGATGCTTGGCGTGATATAGGTACCGAAACTTTGTAAGGTAGGGCCAGGGGTAAGGCAATGTGCCGCCGACTGGACCAGCAGTTTAACCGTGGGTAGGTAGAATATGGCGGCATCCGCATGAATAACGTGTGCTTTTTTAAATGTAAGTTGAAATAAATCGCATAAAAGTAAGCCACTTTCTTACTTTAGTAGTCCAAACACGAATGCGTTGAACTTGAGGACGCTTTCGGAGAGCTCCTCTTCATTGTTCACCTTCAGCACGAGATCACTGAGCGGCTGAGGACATATGCCTGGAATGCGATGCGCGGTTTCAGAATCAGCTGATGCATACCTACCGCTCGTCATATGTTCATAAATTGTTGGTACATACAATCAAGGTACAATCTTCCACAGTGAGCAATATAGCAAACTACCTACCTACCCAGTAGGTACCCGCTGGTCAGCTGCCGCCTGATGAGCCTTTTATGGCGATTATAGATTGCTCTCTGCCAGGGTACATCGAGCTGTCTGCTCTGTAAGCCTAGCAGAGACGTATTTGCACCGAGGCCGTCTATTACGCTCCCTCCATGCTCCGACTGGAGAGCCGCATACCGTAGATTAGTTTATTCTGTAGCCGCTAGATGTCGCTAGTAGTCTGCGCCTGAGGTGGTATACTGTTCCGCCTGACATGGAACCGCAACGGCTATCGACATATAACCCTGGGATAGAGTCCGAGGGACAAGCTCCCACAGTTCATGTAAAATAGCAGCTGAATATTCACTATTTGATTTATGTAGCTATTATATTTCTCATGGAAGACAATTTATTCTCTGTGAGCCGGAGGTGGGAGCCCCAGATAGCCCATTTATCCTGGACGCCATTGTAACACAGGAAGTCGTATTTCAGGAAATCGTAAATGAGAAGGCCGCCGTAGGTATTAATAAGAAGGGGATTGTCAGCGAGATTAGCCCCTTCTCTGCGTATTCCTAACGCATGCAATATCAGAGCAGTGTAATGTGACAGTTTATTTTTGAAAGCCTTTTAGTCGTTCTTCTATAGGAACTTTCCCACCTACAGGCGCGCACACAGGATTTTTTAATGGAGGGGGCGCGACCTGCACACTGGGTCCCCATGCCAAAAGGCCCCAGGTCCCAGCCGAAAAAGTTGCCCTACATGGACTCATATGGGCCTGCTGGGGCCCGAGACGGGCCCTCCTGGTCTTTTCAGTCATCATTTCAGCTCATTTTTAGACGGTCTTCGGCGGTCTAAAGATTAGGGGCCCATTTGAGGAGCATTTGAGGCTGCCTTCGGCCGCCTCAAATGGGCCCCTCAATTTGAATGGGGAGGGCGCGGGCCCGTGTGCCTCTCCACCCCTTATGTGCGCCCTTGCCTACCTATTGATATTTGCTATGGCTCTGGTCACAGACTGACTTGGACATACGCGTACCAATTGAGAAGGGAGGAAAACAGAAAGACTGACTTGTGGCAGGGGTGTCCGACCACGGTAAGGGTGGACCCAAAGGAAAATTGACTGGCCGGGAGGACAGGCCCACTGACCGGGAGGACAGGCCGACTGACCGGGAGGACAGGCCCACTGACCGGGAGGACAGACCCACTGACCGGGAGGACAGGTCCGGGAGGACAGGTCCGGGAGGACAGGCGCACTGACCGGGAGGACAGGCCGACTGACCGGGAGGACAGACCCACTGACCGGGAGGACAGGCCCACTGACCGGGAGGACAGGTCCGGGAGGACAGGCCCACTGACCGGGAGGACAGGTCCGGGAGGACAGGCCCACTGACCGGGAGGACAGGCCCACTGACTGGGAGGACAGGTCCGGGAGGACAGGCGCACTGACCGGGAGGACAGGCCCACTGACCGGGAGGACAGGCCCACTGACCGGGAGGACAGGTCCGGGAGGACAGGCCCACTGACCGGGAGGACAGGTCCGGGAGGACAGGCCCACTGACCGGGAGGACAGGCGCACTGACCGGGAGGACAGGCCCACTGACCGGGAGGACAGGCCCACTGACCGGGAGGACAGGCCCACTGACCGGGAGGACAGGTCCGTGAGGACAGGTCCACTGACCGTGAGGACAGGCGCACTGACCGGGAGGACAGGCCCACTGACCGGGAGGACAGGCCCACTGACCGGGAGGACAGGCCCACTGACCGGGAGGACAGGCCCACTGACCGGGAGGACAGGCGCACTGACCGGGAGGACAGGTCCACTGACCGGGAGGACAGGCCCACTGACCGGGAGGACAGGCCGACTGACCGTGAGGACAGGCCGACTGACCGGGAGGACAGGCCGACTGACCGGGAGGACAGGCGCACTGACCGGGAGGACAGGTCCGGGAGGACAGACCCACTGACCGGGAGGACAGGCGCACTGACCGGGAGGACAGGCCGACTGACCGGGAGGACAGGCCGACTGACCGGGAGGACAGGCCCACTGACGGGGAGGACAGACCCACTGACCGGGAGGACAGGCGCACTGACCGGGAGGACAGGCCGACTGACCGGGAGGACAGGCCCACTGACGGGGAGGACAGGCGCACTGACCGGGAGGACAGGCCCACTGACCGGGAGGACAGGCCCACTGACCGGGAGGACAGGCCCACTGACCGGGAGGACAGGCCCACTGACCGGGAGGACAGGCCGACTGACCGGGAGGACAGGCCGACTGACCGGGAGGACAGGCCCACTGACCGGGAGGACAGGCCGACTGACCGGGAGGACAGGCCCACTGACCGGGAGGACAGGCCCACTGACCGGGAGGACAGGCCCACTGACCGCGAGGACAGGCCCACTGACCGGGAGGACAGGTCCGGGAGGACAGACCCACTGACCGGGAGGACAGGCGCACTGACCGGGAGGACAGGCCGACTGACCGGGAGGACAGGCCCACTGACCGGGAGGACAGGCCCACTGACCGGGAGGACAGGTCCACTGACCGGGAGGACAGGCCCACTGACCGGGCCCAGCAAACATGCCCACATGGTTCCCATATGGGGCCCACATGGGCCCCCCACCTCTTCCATATGGGCCCCACATGGGAATGGCAGTGGGTGACACGTGGGACCCATATGGGCCAGCCCACGTAGGCCCCATATGGGACCCACGCGGCGCCCACATGGGACCCATATGGGTAGCCCATCTGTAGCCCATGTCCCACGTCGGCCCATCTGGCCCATGTTCACCCCATATGGGACCCACATGGGATGCCCATCTCCAGCCCACATGCGTTTGGCCCATCTGGCCCATTTTTATCCCATATGGGGCCCATATGGGTAGCCCATCTGTAGCCCATGTCCCACGTGGGCCCATCTGGCCCATGTTCACCCCATATGGGACCCATGTGGGCATGTTTGCTGGGGGAGGACAGGCCCACTGACCGGGAGGACAGGCCCACTGACCGGGAGGACAGGCCGACTGACCGGGAGGACAGGCCCACTGACCGGGAGGACAGGCCCACTGACCGGGAGGACAGGCCCACTGACCGGGAGGACAGGCCCACTGACCGGGAGGACAGGCCGACTCCACCAGGCGCCAGACGCTGTTGTGCACCGGCCCGAAGGCGGTGTCGAGCCGCGTGAGGAGGCCGTCACCGAGCAGCGTGTACAGAGCGGGACAGAGCCGGTCCAGCACCAGGTAGCCGATGGCAGGGCTGCGCCGACTGTCCCCGAGCAGCTGGCCGCCGACTGTGGCACACAACACACGGCCAGTGAACCAACGCGGCACCTGTGTACCTAACACAATGGCACCGATCTGAAACATCCAGAACTGCAGGACGTGGTGTTTTACCAGTCTAAGAATGAAATAAAATAAGATAAGCGCCTAACGTGGAAATATTACTTTCAGTAGGTATAACTCTTAATCGTAATAGAATGCCTTATTGGTATGGAAGGTGTCAATACCGCAAAGTATGTGAGTGTGTAAGCAGGTATGTCTTACCTGGATCATTTGATGACAGGGATATTGCACTTGATTGGAAGTAGGCCACGATCGACGACACACTTTCAGTGATAAGACTCAGGGCCTCTGTAAGATGACATTTATCGGTTAGTGTACGATATGCGTAGAGTAGATACGTCTACAAACGAATAAGGAAAGAGTAACTAATCGTATGCTTGCACGCTCTAGCCATGTATTTCATCACATTGGGATATAACTTAGCCGTAGTAACTTATATTTCGTGAATAAAGCTGGATAGGCGCTAAAGCTTAGGTAAATATTTCTTACGAGCATAATCTAGCAAAGATGCAAGGCGAGTGATCGGCTGCAAAAGCTGGGTCAGTAGCACACAGTGACCGTCTGGGCAGCCTACCTTCGAAGCCGTCCCGGTGGAGCACGATGACGCGCCTGGCGTGCGAGTCGGACTCGGAGCGCGAGCTGTCGCTGCCGGCCGACTGGGCGCCGAACGAGCCCGGCATCCGCAGCTCGATGCCCGAGTCCACGGACGGGTGCTGGCGCCGGCGCTCCGAGCCCGTCTTCCCGGCGCCGCTCGGCGCAGACGGCGGGTGGGAGACGGTGTCGGAGGCGTCCTCGGGGCCCGTGAACGGCCGCAGCTCCCGCTCACTGACGGCCGCGAACTGGGCGGCGTCCGTGAACCAGTGGCTCAGCGAGCGGCCCGAGCTGGTCGACGAGCCGCTGGCGGCCGCCAGTCGCGCCGAGCGCGGCGTGCACCGGCCGTCGCGCTCGTCGTCGGTGGCGGCGTCCGAGTCGCGCCGGCCGCTGCCCGCCGAGCTCTGCCGACTGGCCGACCGGCACTGGCCCACGTGCAGGCCGCCAGAGGGGCCGTCCGGCGACAGGGCGTCACCGGCCAGCCGGTCCATCTCGCGCCGGAACTCCTGCGGCAGCAGCATGCGCAGCGAGCGCCAGTCCTGGATGGCGGCCATGTTGCCGCGGATCGCCGTCCGGATGTCGTTACAGGAGTAGGGCCGGCGCTGCGGCGAGCCCGTCGCCGTCGGCGTCAGACGGCCCGGCGGCACCGGCGAGCCGACCCGGCACCCGGCCAGGGCCGGTGAGCCGACCCGCGGCCGGACGAGCGGCGCCCGGGAGCCCGCGCCCCGGCCGCTCAGGACCGGCGACGCCGGACCACGGGAGCCAGTAGGAACCGGTGAGGCCGGACCACGGGAGTCTGTCAGAGAGGGTGGCCCCGGAGCGCGGCGGGTGGGCGGCGCCGGCGACTCCGGCAGCGGGGCGCGGTGAGCGCCGGCGGCGGCCTCCCCCGGCCCGTGTCGGCACGGCGCGCTGATAGGACTCTGCTCCAGGAAGGGCAGGCAGGGCAGAGTGTAGTGCGGAAACACGCACAGACCGCCGCCGGACGGCGCTGTCTGGCTGCTGCGCTCGGCCACAGCGGCGGTGGCGGCGACGGGGCGCGGCTCGGAGCCGGTCACCGGCCGGACGGCGCGGTCAGGGGCCCGCTCTCCCCCGCCGCGGTCACCGGCCAGGTCAGGCCGGGGGCGCCGGCCGCCGCACCGACACTCGGCAGGCGCCGGCCTCTCCGGGAGGGTCAGCTCGCCGCGCCTGTCCAGCAGACGCTGCCGCGGGTCGGCGCTGAGCAGGTACCGCCGGAGGTCGTTGCGGCGCGGCTGAGCCTTGTCTCTCATCCGGACTGGCGTCGTCTCTTCGTCCGACCTCGGCTCGTCCTCGCGCGGTTCCACCTGGCAGGTCCCGGCTCGGTCCGGCTCGGCGCGGTGCTGGTCCGGCCACGGCGGCGGACTCTGCGGCGCCGACGGCGGCAGACACTGCTCCCGCCAGGTGGTGGTCTCGGTCCGCGGCGCCGGTGGGACCGGCGGCGACTGGCGCTGCCCCACCCAGGTGGTGTGCTGGTGCGGGGACGGCGTGCGGCGCCGCTCCGACCAGCAGGTGAGGCCCGGCCGGGACCGCCCGGCCGCCGGCCACTGACGAAACTCTGCCCGAGAGCGGACACTGCGTCACAGCCGACCAGACGCTGATGGGCGCAGAGTCAGCAGCTGAGCGAACACACAAATCGTAACAGGTGCCTAAGCTCTCAGCCGAACGATCGTGGACGATCGAGTAGGGGTATCAATCGCTTCGTATATTGATGCGGGACCTACATTATTATTTTGCAATATAATATGACGTGATGTGTTACGTTCAACGCTTTACTCACATTTGCGAGTTTGTCACGCCATAGGAAGGTTACAAGCTAAATCGACTGAGCAGCTTTCATTTCAAAGTCCATAACGGTTTCTCCAGCGACCGGCTCGACCGTTCTAGCAAATAGCGATGCCGAACGTGGGCCAGGCTGAATAATAAGAGGCAGGACGCCAGTCAAGAATTTGGCGCCGGCTCACAGTGACACGGCCTGATGTTTTACACTTCCCGCCAAACGATCGGCCAGGAAATGCAGCTATGTAAATGGAGGTCGTTTCTGCCGCTGCATCGATGTTACAACAGCCGCTGATATCGTCAGCCCTGATTTACCCGGCCTTAGCCTAGCTTTGGGACACATAAGACAACAAAATCTCGCTGCACGAAGGCCAATATGGATAGCAGTCTCTGGCTGAATCCGTTTGGCGTTATCCACGGGCCATTTGGCCGACACTCTCTGTGTGTTGCTGACGCCGTCTCAGGCTGGGGAACAAACACCCACCGTGGGGCGCTGATGACGGGTCTGTGGCGTCATCGCTGGTGACGAGAGCGGCCTCGCCGCTGGTCGTCACGGCTGCGGCGTCGCTGCTCATCTGGTCGATGGCCCGGTCGCTGCCGGTCGTGCCGCCGTCCTCGGTGGTCGCCAGCGCTCCGCTGCTGCTGTCGTCGGCCTCCAGACTCAGAGACGGCAGCATCTCGTCCGCCTCGAACGACGAGCAGTCCAGCGAGTCCATCGAGATGTTACTGAACAGGCCCTGCTCCTGTGGAGAGCGGCAGACCCAAACACTGAGCGCACTGAACTCTGAAAACGCCCTGCTTCTGTGGAGAGCGGCAGGCCCAAACTCTGAGCGCACTGAACTCTGAACCCGCCCTGCTCCTGTGGAGAGCGGCAGACCCAAACTCTGAGCGCACTGAACTCTGAAAACGCCCTGCTCCTGTGGAGAGCGGCAGACCCAAACTCTGAGCGCACTGAACTCTGAAAACGCCCTGCTCCTGTGGAGAGCGGCATACCTAAACTCTAAGCACACTGCTAGTGTGGGCTGTAGTGTACTGTAGTTAAAACAAGCCAAAGCTTTAGGCGAGCCCTGTTCCCGTTCAACCCAACATGAGCTGGCGCGGGTGTGACCTGCACTCTTCTAAATGAAGATGAACGTTTCGGGGGTACCACTTCGGACTCACTCGATACATACAAGTAGCAGACCCCGAGCTGCTGCCTGCCCTCTGCACCGCTCTCACCCCGTACAGGTCGTTGCTGTAGGCCGATATCTCCAGGATTTTGTCGATGTCGGCCCGGCAGAACTGGTCCATGTCGATCTCTGCCAGTGTGGCGTCCACGTGGCACGAGAGCTGGTTGTAGCTGTGCGAGCCCATCAGCTCTGGACAGCGCTGCTGACCGGGGGTGGTCGTACCGCCGCCCTCACCTCCCTCGTACCTGCAGTGGCACCAGAACACGCCGCATCACGGGCAGTCAGAGTCCGAGGGTCAGAGATCAGAGGCCACAGTTCATAGGTCATAGTTTTTGTGCCGCGCTCAAGATATTTTGATTTCAGAGTCCGGAGGAGTAAAAGTCCTCAGTGGCAACTCAGACGTTTAGTGTCCCGATGCTGGGTACGATCGACAGTTTATAAAAGAGAGCGACCACGCAACCTCACCTCGAGAAACATGCTGCTCACCCTGGATATCTACACCTACACCGTCTGAGTGATTGTAGGCATTGAAACTCTCTGCGATTGAAATGAGTGTTGGAATGAAATCACATTTTGGCTTTTTGTGATTGCTATCAGTAACCTAGGGATATGTGATCTCTTTATTACACGAACCAATGCTAAACAGAATAACAACGGCGTCTTCTAGGGATGAAGGTCATTCTTGTAAACACTGGGTTTGCCCTTTCGACCCTGTGATCTAGGGGTCTGTGGTGTCACAGTGCAGCTACCGTCTGGTCAATGATAGGATGAGGCGCCGCGCCGTCTTTTGAGGTGAGCTGAGCCGCCGTCTGTGTGAGATGTGAACATATGAGCCGCCGTCTGTGTGAGATGTGAACATATGAGCCGCCGTCTGTGTGAGATGTGAACATATGACTTGAGCCCCCGTCTGTGTGATTTGAACCGCCGCGCCGTTTGTGTGAGCTTAGAGATAATCCACCACCTGTGAGAGTTGAGCCGCCGCCTGTGTGAGATGTGACGCAACTGAGCCGCCGCCTGTGAGATGTGACGCAACTGAGCCGCCGCCTGTGTGAGACGTGACGCAGCGAGCCGCCGCCTGTGTGAGACGTGACGCAGCTGAGCCGCTCTCCGAGGTCGGTCGATACCCGTCCGCGGCAGAGCAGAGGAGGCAGCATCCGACCTCCGCCGACTCTACCCCGGCAGAATTGGGCGCTCAGCCTCGCATGAGCACGGCTCATTTGTAACCGTTCCCTTTTACATCTGCGACTCGGCTCGCCGGCCCCCGCAGTAAGTTCGCACAGTATAGTCGGCCTGCTTCCAAATTACTTTTGACCGCAGCGAGAAACGAAACTTCCTGCAATTCTCACCCTCTATGTTCGTGTACATTTTTCAAGTCAACTTTTAATTTTAGTCAACTAATGAATTTATTAACTACTACGCTAGCCTTGCACAATTATCTACCTGTGAAGACGCTCGATCACTTTTGTTCCATAAGATGTTGTCCACGATACATTCGTTGCACTCATTACTGGCATTCTATTCCGTTACATCATTTCGCTGCAACGGTGGCTTCGTATGAATTATGCTAATTGTATGTTTTGGCTGACATCTTTCGAAGGCTAAAGGCAAGGTATTTCAGACAGTTACTTCACATAACTACAATGCCTACAGTCTAAAAAGTGGACCACCTGAAACTCTTCCCGGAAGCCTCAGTCGCTCGATGATAAGCGGAGCTGGCCGAAGACACCGTTAGGCTGAGTTCTCCGGTAGTCCAGTTTAGGGTTCTCAGAGCTCAGACATTGACGGGTTTATGTGGCGGGCTCGAGGTAATCACTAAAGTAGCTATGTGATATTGTTGGTCCAGAAATCTCTCATTAGGTTTTTAACAACATTCCAGAAAGGAAGCTTAGTGATGATGTGACTAGTCGTCTTGTCCACATCAGTTGGGAATTTAAAAGTTACCTTCTTCCTAGGCATATGTCGCTGCATCGACACCTTTTGAAGCGACACATACCTATAAATATGCGAGTAGGTGTTTAATATTATTTGAGGTCGGGACCTGAACACAGAGCCAGTTGAGGTGGCGGTCGGTGACCTACCCGCAGAGCCAGTTGAGGTCGCGGTCGGTGATGAAGTCGGCCTCGTCCAGCGACTGTTGGCTGCCGACCAGGCCGGCCGGCTGGTCGCCGTTGGCGTTGGCGTCCGGCAGCGTCTCCATCATGCCGCCCCGGCTGCCGGGATTTCCTCGAGGTGAATTATGGCCGTGTCCTATGCCCACACTCGGATCATCGGTAGCACAAGGTGTCGGGCTCACATGGCTGAAAATGAGAAAGGGTGGTCAACGCGCTACCAGATATCTATGCCAACGGATATTCCCAACGCATATTGCATAACGTTATGTTAAACAAAGGACGTTTCGGTTGCGAGATGAGTCGAGTGGTTATTCTCACCGCTATTGCTCCCCTCCTCCACCCGCACCAGGTCACCCAACGCCATTTTACATCCCAGGTCAGCTGCTCACGTTGAACCATGCTATCTTAATTTTCACTTTCTCCTGTTTCATTTAACTCATAAATAATCGCTCGTTTATTATTCAGTAATAGTCAAAACTTAAAAGTAAACATTAAGCAGGCACGGAGACGGACCTTATATGGATAAAAACATTGTAATTCTTATGACAAGTGCCGACTCAAAAGTCGACATTTTCCAGCAATATTAGGTGCAGCAAATACCTATAAAGGCGTTCTTTGGCTTGGGTAGGTACATGTTATTTCTTTTGATGAAAATGAGCAAAAAAAAATGTAAATCGCATTTTGCTCGAACTATATGATAAAAAGCGCATTGGGTGCGTCAGAGCCCGCCCTAAACACGCCGTGCTGCGCAGGCTACGATATCCGCCATTTATCTATGCCACCATCTTATGGATCAATTCCTGTTGTCAGGCTAAACGTCAGCGTGCCAACATAACCGATACAGTTCACCCCGCCGGCCTTAACTCTCCGCGACTGTTTCCATAAACCCAATATAAACTGCAGGCCATCCTTCATAGTAGTTGCGCATATCTGTAGCACAGTAGTCTATAGGTACCTGCAAAACAGTACCTACCTATGTACATATTGCACATCCCAGTGTGCATCAAAAGCCGTTTTCTTACACGGAACAATAGAGAAAATATGACTGTTTTGTCACTCACCTGTTGTGTTTCGAGTGTCTGCTGTGCCGGACGACTGCGGCCAGGGTCTGGGCGCTGCCGGCGCGCCGGTGTCGGGCAGCGGGCGTGGCGTCCGGTCACTGGCGGCGGTGCAGCTGGCAGGGGGGCCGTGTGGGCCGCGGAGGCAGGGCGCCGCCGCCGTCCAGCATTGATCGCTGGTCGAGTCCCGCCGGCGCGGCGCCGCAGGACCCCCATCCCCCCCCCCCCCCCGACCGGCCGGCGAGACCCCTCCCCAACCCGTCACCGCCCTCTGAACGACCGTCCATGTCGACCCCGCGCCTGAGACCCTCGCAGCCGTCCCGGTACAGTTATTACAGTCCAAGTCCTCCCAAGTCCCATTGCCCTTACCTAATCCCTCCACCATCCGGCCCTCTCGTGTGTCTCATCTCCACTCTCCAGTCTTGAGTCTTCTCAACTCCCCTTCCTTACTCTCGAGTCGGTTACCCTCCATTTTTCTCCAATCCTTCCTCTCCCCCAGACCGTCCTTAGCCCCCTTCCCCCAGTCCTGCCCTCCTCTTGGGTGGTCCTCCCAGCTGTCCCCGCGGCGCTCTCCGGACGGGCCCCAGCCGTCTGGTCCGCCGCGTCCCCGCCCTTGACCGCCGATTCCCTCCCTCCCTGCCTCTCCCCGCCCGTTCAGCCATCCCGAAGAGCCGCGCCAACGGGCGATTTTCCGTCCGAGCCGGTCCGTAGAGGCTGTTGCCGTGATTGGGCGCAGGCCGAGACGGCGCCGGAAGGCAGTCGCGCAGCCGACAGAGCCGCGCAGAGACAGCTCCCGGTCGAGGGAGGAGGGAATCCAGGGGAAATGGGCGGTGATGGCCGGGAGGAACTCGGACGGCCTAGTATAGCGGCCCTCTTGTATTATGTTGCAGGGTGTATATTGGCAATCGGCACAACGGCCGTATTGCAACCGCATTTAGGTAAAGCTAGCGCATTTCCCTCACAACAGCTTACAAAAAGACCTCGCTCCGACTTCGCAGCTTCTTCATTTTCTTTTTTGTTTTAACACGGGCGGTAAAAATGTTACCCAAATACAATGTAACTCGCAAGACAAGCTCGATTTGATTCGATTGTTTAAACCTGGACTATAATGAGCATTAAAACATGGAACGTCTTAGCCGACCACTCAGTCGAAAGTTATAACGGCCCATTTCGACGGTCCCGCCGCTGTTCATATCGGAGCTCGGAGGGCCAATTGTCCAGAAAAGGGCCCTTGGTGTGGTACTTGACGTCTGTGTCGGCACCCCCGGCCTCTCTCGGAGCTCTGTGTTAGGAAGCAGGGTGATAGGTTCTCCGCCTCCCCCTCCCGACCGGCTGGACCGGGCTCCGTCCACTGACCAAGCTGGCCCTCTCCACAGCCGCGCCGGGCAGCAACTGGCTCGTCGGCGCTTCTGCAGAGCTCGGTTATACCATCCGCTGCTGCGTGAGACCCATCAGAGACGTGGCGGCAGCAAGCGCAGCTGTTGATCCACCTTCGGCCGGTTATTGACCGCTGCTCGACGGGTTTATATGCATTTAGCTACATACACGGGTTTATACGGGATCGTCGGGATGCATGCATGCCTAACGACCCCTCCAATGGCAGTTTGTGCTCCCAAACCAACGAACACATTGAACACATTATGCTTTATGGTGTTACTGTGTTAGTAATCCCGGGCATTAGCCTCATCAGTCGTCACAAAAAAAAAAAAATACTCGAATATAGCGTCAGGTCAGGCCAGGACCAGTCAGGTCAGGTCAGGTCACATCAGGTCAAGTCTGTTCAATGATAGTCCGTGAATGGGTTCAAGTTGAATACTTAGCTCGGATCAGTTTGATAAATTATGTTCTGTCTGGTCGTGTTAGATTGGATCCGGTCGAATCGTAGGTCTGTTTTGGTCTGGTTGAGTCGAGCCGGGTCAGGTCGGGTCTGATCGTGTTCGGACGGGTCGAATTTGCTCGGATCGGGTCCGCTGGTAAGGTCGGCCCAGATTTAGTTAAGTCTGGTCGGGTCAGGTTTGCTCAGCTCAGTTAAGTGAGGTCTGTCTAAGGTTAATCTGTTAATCGGGTCATGTTGAGTCCTTGGGTCGGAGCAGTGTGTTGAGTTATGTTCTGTCAGATCGGGTCGGATGCTGAATAGTCAGATCGGTTTAGGTCTGGTCGGGTCAGGACCAGTCGGGTCAGGCTGGGCCCAGGTCGGGTCGGGTCAGGACTAGTCGGGTTAGGCTGGGCCCAGGTCGGGTCGGGTCAGGACCAGTGGGGTCAGGCTGGGCCCAGGTCGGGTCGGGTCGGGTCCGGACGGTCGGCGGTTCTCGGCCCAGTCGGTCGGACTGGTCTGGGGCGGTCACGTGCGCCGCCGACGGTCCAGTCTGCGCTATCGACCGCCGCCAGCCGGCTCCACAGCCCCCTGACAGACAGCCCCGGCGCGGCCGCGCGGCCCGCTGCCCGTCCGCCGCCCAGCGTCCTCCGTCCGCCGCCGGCGGCGCCGCGACTGCAGCCTCCAGGTGGGTGTCCGCCGCCGCGCTGTCCTCCCCCCCCCCCCCCCCAGACCGCGCCTCCCTCCCTCCCGCCTCCCGTCCTGCCGCAGGACGCCGCTGGGCGTCGCATCGACGGCTTCGACCCCGTCATCGTCGGCGGCGGCGCGGCGCTCCCCAGTCGAGCGGGCACCGGCGGCAGTGGGCGCGCCCCGGGCGGCGGAGCGGCGCTCTCGGCGGCGGGGTGCTCTGTGACCGGGTGCTCCCAGCGGCGGGAGTGCTCCCAGTGGCCGTCAGTGACCAGGGTGCTCTCAGTGACCGAGCACGGTGCTCTCAATAGCCATGTTGCGCTGTTTTGACTGTAACACAGCGGCGGACGACGCTCGAACGCTGGTGGAAAATGGTCAGTAGGTACTTGTCAATCCTAAAAGCTGTCGCCATACGAGAAAAGAAAACTGTCGTTTCTTGGATGTTGACTGCCATGGGCGTAATACTGCAAATCAGGAAGGTATTTACAGTATTTACACTATATATCTAGGTACTCAACTTACCATGCGGTGGCGTTGAGCCCTAGGACCCGCGTGTGGTTGCCAATGCCAAGATTGCTCTCAAATTGTGTTCAGTTTCGAAAATTTGGCGCGCCTTCGGCGCACTTTTTTAGAACCACTGCTTGACCTCACTGCCTTCGACTGGCCTGCCACAAACCGCAACCATATACCGTCAGGGCGTAGCCGTCAGGATGCTCATACACCGAGCGTCCGTCAAGCTTCAAGCTCGGACTGTTGTAACCGGAACGCGTGCTCTCGCCACCCTTAGTCCAACGCTCAAGCGATTGAGCTACGAGACCGGGACCGGTCGATATCCCTGAATAGTCTCCCTGTTTGTCTTACTCTTATAAGAGGTTGAGCCACCCAACATTGAAAAAGACTGTGTCCCTGGATGTCAGTGACCCATTTTAGTGCTTTGGTTCGAACGTTCAATTTTCTCTGTAAAGCTCCTACGAGGTGAGCTGTCATCTTTTTGTAGCTATTTTGAGACACAATAAAAAGCTGAAAACGCAACATTTACTCATAATGACTCATGATAGGTATGGTTTCGATATGTTGTGAAATTGCATAAGTTTAAGCAACGCTCACCCTTGAACAAACACAACGTTCATTATTCCATTTCCATGGGTCAGAATAGGGGTTTGTTTATGATGATCGTTGACAACAACGTGAGCTTAGTCGTCTTTCCGACTATCGGTCGCTGGCCGGGGTAACTTTTTCAAACATTCTCCACCCATGCTTGTCGGAGCTAGGGAGTACTTTTCTCGTTCTTGGTGTGACAGTGTACCTAGTACGCACTAGCAGGTAAAGTGCTCAACAGGAGTGACGTAGAACCTTGTGTTTGGTCATAAGACATTTATCCTCGTTCCCAAACAACAATAGCAGTGTGTGGCACACAAATCTGCCTTATCTCTGTACGTCACGTTCATCGGCAGCAGAGCTCATTCAAGCAACCAAATAGGTATACGTCCTAGATTTAAGTCGTAGCTCTCGGGGGATTTGTATTTACATTTCCAGCGTAAAGACCCCACCTAAATGAAGGCGGCTTATTTTTTATTTGAAACTAGCGTTCATATAGGTAGGGGAAAGTGGGTGTATTGCGCCCTCCTAACCAATTGCGCCCACCAACATTCCCACGGATTCAATGGCATGTTTAAAATTTTGTGTTCGAAAACATTATTTTCACCATTGGATTGCTCATTTTATGGCCCAAACACTCCGATGAAGCCAATCAGCATGGCTCATTACACCATCAAAGATGTTATGGCGTTTTCTTAACTTTTTTGCAGTACTTTGAACCGTTGGCTATAAAAATTTACGTTATTTGTGTGATTTTCAGAGTGATATTTAGAAAGAAAATCCCTTTTTTCATTGTATTTCACTGAAACCGTAAACTTCCTGCAACATCTTAATGATAACTTCTATGCTTTTATTAAAAAGTACCTCAATTTTAATTGCGCCCATGGCAATTGCGCCAGGGGGGCGCAAATAGAATGATGGTGTAGCCATTGTATCACGACAGTATGAATGCATCATTAACTGATTGCAATAAAGAAGGAGTTTAATGTCAGGCAATTGGGAGCAGCCCGCTGTCGTCAGTCCGCAAATTATCTCTATCGTCAAACTTATAATGCAGCTGCCATTTAGGCTACGACTTGTGGTGTAATTGACAAAATACGACATTTTCAACATGGACTCAGGCGTGAGAAGTGACAGCTATGATAAAAAAGTAAAACTGATGTCATTAAGTTGTCAAAACGATAAAAATTGTTAATTTTGAGAGAACCGATTGAAAATTAAACTGTATAGCGCATAAATTCACATATATCTAGTCGGTTACAGTAAACGTTTTCGTTGCACTTTTACAAGCGTACGGACACATGTAAAGTTATCTACCTGGGCAAAAAACATCGCGATTTATATCTACATTTATTATTCATCCAGCCTGAATAACATTATAAATGTTTAAGTAAGCCGCAATGACATTAGACTGCCGGGGTGTATGCATTCCGTCTCATTCACTTAGCCATGTTAAAGTATAGGGCGCAATTGGGTTCTAATTGCGCCATCCCCCTGGCGCAATTTACAGCAGTTGTTGGCAAATGCGCCCTTTTGCATGTTTCTGAAAAGCAGCTATCAGAAGCAAACGAAACATTCTTAATTGATCGGGAGGCTCTCAAATCGTAGCCAATGAGCTCCCCTTTGAAATGGTTACCAGTGCATGCTTATATCTCCAGCACTTTTCTTGCAATCAACGTTTTTCCTTAAGGTGGCGCAATTCACCCTCCTTCCCCTACTCAATTACAGTAGCGGCTGAACACCTTCAACTAAGGGGGGGGGGGGGCACTGCCGACTTTTGGTCCCATTCTTTCCATGCAACGCCCATAGGGCTAATGTTAAAATGCCAAAATCAAAGGGGGGCACGGTGCCCCGGTGCCCTCTCCGTTCCGCCGCCTATGCTCAATTACATGTTATTCATGCACTCAAGTATTCAAGTCCATACCTATACCATTATGGTAAATCTACCTGCATTGATCTTCCATATCCCACGAACACGGAAAAGGTATGCCATTCTCACAGGCCAGTCGTCCACTAATTGCGCTTGACCTTTCCAAAGGTGTGAGCATTTCGTTACAAATGCATGAACATACCGTGCGCGAGCACAGCTTGCAATGAGTCGTTAGCGCCTCCTGGATGCGAGATTCTCATGTGTACCTGCCCAAATAATATCGTTGAAGTGTAGCACGAAACAAACTGTGAACATGGAGAACATGAGGCGAGCTGTACAATTTGTGAACCCGAGAACAGTGGTCAGTGAACATCGTGTGGCGCGCGACAAACGGTTCAACTCAAATCGTTTACCTACGTGGAGTGGATCTTTCGAACCTTATCGCTAGCGTGGATAGCTCGGGACAAATTGGCTCGGGACAGACGGTAGGGTGCGGATAGCCCGATACGTACGGTTGACTCTTCATATTGCCTTGTGATTGTCACACACCAAAGGCGAATATTGTTATGGTATCTTGTTGTTTGCTGCAGGAAAGAAATGATGGATCGGATCGGACTGATTTACGTAATTCACTTTATATGTTTCAGGAACCTGGACGAGCAGCTCGGGCCCTGCATCTTTGCAGCAAACCGTCGTCACTGAAGAAAGGTATGTGCCCCTTGCCGTTTGGCCCCTGATCGAGCTAGGGCTTCGTAGAAGGAACGAGCGCTTTGCCAGTGACGAGAGGAAGCCGATAATACCCAATTTTAAGGGCTATGTCATTGGTCAACCTTCCATGTCAGGTCAATGACACAAAAGTCGGGAAATTTGGGACCAATTAGAACTTTATAAAGTGAGATTCAAGATTGTTATGGGGTGTTATGAGGTGCTCGGTCAGACGCAGGTCAGGTCAGGTCAACTAGTAGGCGTCCTGCCGGCTATCCATAGTAGGTGTCAACCACTACTGACACCTCGTAACATGTTACGAAGCCCGAAGGCACCAAAATACTTCGTAAATGTTCAAATGAGCGCCAAATTCGAAATCAGCAGCTAAAAAAACTGCCCTAGGAACATGTACCTTAAGTTCTCAAAAGTGAGTCGATGACATCCAAGGTCAATGAACTTAAACTGTTATGGGGTTTTGCGGGGTGCTGATCACGAAATTCATGTTGGTTTTGATCACAGATGATGTATTCATGCATTTAAGCCAGGTCAGGTCAGGTCAGATCAGGCCAGGTCAGGTCAGGTCAGGTCAGGCCATGTTATGAAGGCACCAAAACTAATCCGTAAATGTTCAAATGGGTGCAAATTCTAAATCAACTAAAAAAACTACCCTGGAAACGTAAAACTCGCAAAAGTGAACAGCGAACCGAGGTCATCCAAGGTCAATGACCTTGACCTGACCTTTGCATGAGCTTGACACCCACCATAATGTATGGGGCCAACATCATTTCACATGTTTGAACGTTTAAAACCACAAAAAAAAACGGAAACACGCGGACAATGTAAGCCGACATACGCTAAATCGCGATTCCGGCCAAACATGGTCTCGAGAAACATATCACAGGTCAAAGGTCATTTGGGTCAGGGTCAGGACATGTTTAGGTTAGGTGTAAAATTGGGATATAGGTATGGAATTATGAGTTGTCTCATCTTTTTCTATTTCCTGCGTAGGAATAATAATAACCAGGCAGGTTGATTGCTACCTACTGGCAATGCTTCTCTTTGGCATCAGATAATCACATTGAAATGTCATTGAAAGTTTCTTGTTGTAGCACGTGCTGTATAGGCAAGACATAGGTAGGTATAAGTTGTATGAGAAAAACGCTCTTTAACCCGCGCCCCGCTGGGCTATTCAGCCATACGCGCCCTGCTGGGGGGGGGGGGGCAGATTCTGCCCCTCTGTCTAACTTCCGAACCGATGGTCGTAGAAAGACGGGGAAAACGGCATTCGAAAGCTCTCAACAAGGCGGATCTTAAGAGCCCAAATTTTTTTGCTTAAGTAGGTCAGAGGTCAGGCCAAGGTCAGGTCAAGGGTACAAAATGCAAGTTTCTACAGTATCGGCCTTGCACCGTAGTTGCCGAAGAATGGACTGAGACTGATTGCCCAAAACGTGTTTTTAGACTACCAAGACAATACTCGTTGCATACAATGTCATTCAAAGGTCAAGATCAAGGTCAGGTCAGGTCAGGTCACCAAAAACAAAATATAGAAAAGGGCATGTGCGACACATGTTTTATGGGTCATTTTACCCATATAATTCAATAGGCACACTCAATAAGTGATATGGACCACCTCTGGATGAATTTCAGGTCGAGGTCAGGAAGGCCTAAAAAGGTGTCTATCTGATGCAGTTTTTCACTGCGAATTGAATGGTGCTATTTTGGTTTCCGTACGAGGTCTAGAGTTTCAAAAAAAAATCATTTTTTCAAAAAATTTGTGTGTCGTGACGTCATAAAATTTTTAATAACTCCCACATTTTTGAACCGATTCTTCTGAAAATTGGTATGTATGTGCACATAGACCATTTCTCTGACATATATTCCAGTGATTTTCGATACACTCAAAATTTTGGATTTTATAGTTATTTTCCCAAAGAGTCAGTGTTATTTTAAAATTTGGGCCAAAATCCAAAATTTTCAAAAAACCGAGATAGCCATTTGATAGACAAAGTAGAATCACGTTGAACTTTTTTGTTACGTGTTGATTCCTTTAAAAATGAAGATGTTAGCGGCGTTTGAAATTTTGCCGTTTTTGAGGCGAAAATGGCGAACATGACGTCACTAAAACGTCAATTTCTCAAAAAAATTCAGACGGATTTCGCTCAAATTTTCAGAAAACGTGTCAAATTGATGTATGATAAGGTACTGAAAGTTTGACGTCGCTGGCGTAACACGTTTAGAAGTTATTGGCGAAAAACGGGAGGAGGGCAGATTCTGCCCCCCCCCCCCAGCGGGGCGCGGGTGAAATGACCTTACAATGAAATACCAAATGATTGAGGAATGAAATAATTGTTGATGATTTAATTCTCTCATCATTTGGTGTTTCATTGTAAGGCCATTTAAAAAGTGTTTTTTTCTCATACAGTCATTGAAAGTTACCGAGTGTGTATACTATGCATAAGCAATGGCTACAGACCATACTTGCGATATAAATCGCACGGACTCGCTCTGCGGTCTCGGGTGGCAAATATTGGTGGAACGTGGCCCGTGGTACGTCTGAGGGAGCCGGATCGCGACCAATCCGGGACTCATAACGGCCACTGACGAACTCTGAGATCGGCCCGAATTGGCCATTATCGCCCGAGTAACGGCCTCGTCAGACACGCCTAAAATACTGCGCTATTGCCCGTGGCCTCGCCTTCATTGCTCGATCATCTATACCCTGAGACGTAACGGTCCCGCCCCAGACCGTTTGTCCCCGCCGCACACCGTCGTACGAGTACAGTCTGTCCCCGCTTCATGCCGTCCTTCCCCGCCTTACATCGTCTGTCCCCGCCTCACACCGTCCTTTCCCGCCTCAGACTGTCGTACAGTTTTTCCCCGCCTCAGACTGTCCGTCCCCGCCTCAGACTGCCGTACAGTCTGTCCCCGCCACAGACTGTCCGTCCCCGCCTCAGACTGCCGTACAGTCTGTCCCCGCCTCACACCGTCTGTCCCCGCCTCAGACTGTCGTACAGTCTGTCCCCGCCTCAGACTGTCTGTCCCCGCCTCAGACTGTCCGTCCCCGCCTCAGACCGCCCCTCCCGTCCCAGACCGGTCATTTACCGTCCCTCCCTTCTCAGACCGGCGGCGGTCCGCCCCTCCCGTCTCAGACCGGCGGCGGTCCGCCCCTCCCGTCTCAGATCGGTGTGGCAGTGGTTCGGTGGCAGTAGTTCGGTATGGTCCTCGGTGTTCTGTGGCAGTGGTTCGGTATGGTCCTCGGTGTTCTGTGGCAGTAGTTCGGTATGGTCCTCGGTGTTCGGTGGCAGTAGTTCGGTATGGTCCTCGGTGTTCTGTGGCAGTGGTTTGGTATGGTCCTCCGTGTTCTGTGGCAACGGTTCGGTGTGGTCCTCGGTGTTCTGTGGCAGTGGTTCGGTATGGTCCTCGGTGTTCTGTGGCAGTGGTTCGGTATGGTCCTCGGTGTTCTGTGGCAGTGGTTCGGTATGGTCCTCGGTGTTCTGTGGCAGCGGTTCGGTATGGTCCTCGGTGTTCTGTGGCAGTGGTTCGGTATGGTCCTCGGTGTTCTGTGGCAGTGGTTCGGTATGGTCCTCGGTGTTCTGTGGCAGTGGTTCGGTATGGTCCTCGGTGTTCTGTGGCAGTGGTTCGGTATGGTCCTCCGTGTTCTGTGGCAGTGGTTCGGTATGGTCCTCCGTGTTCTGTGGCAGTGGTTCGGTACGGTATGGTCCTCGGTGTTCTGTGGCAGTGGTTCGGTATGGTCCTCCGTGTTCTGTGGCAGTGGTTCGGTATGGTCCTCGGTGTTCTGTGGCAGTGGTTCGGTATGGTCCTCGGTGTTCTGTGGCAGTGGTTCGGTATGGTCCTCGGTGTTCTGTGGCAGCGGTTCGGTATGGTCCTCGGTGTTCTGTGGCAGTGGTTCGGTATGGTCCTCGGTGTTCTGTGGCAGTAGCTCGGCATGGTCCTCCGTGTTCTGTGGGTGCGTCTCTCGGTACCCTTGCTCTGAGTGTGGTCTGGCCGGCAGATCCATGTTGAGCACCGAGTACCGGCTCAAGTTCCAGGACTTCAGCGGCGGCTCTGCGCCGCCGTCCGACGCCAGCTGCCCGGATGGCGGCGTTCGCGGCCTGGGCAGGGCCAAGACCTGGTACTCGGATCTCCTCGAGTCGCGCCGCAAGGCCGTCACCTATAAGGTGGGTGTCGGAACGGCCACAGGCTGCCGCAGAGACGGGCCGGGCACGCGGAGCGCACCGCCCGGGACATTACACGCAGTCACACATAATGAGCAAATGCATTGTAAAACTGCAGTAGCTATCAGTTTATTTAACATGTGCTTGATAGCCTCTCACACACAGTCTCTACATTCCACTCACTGCTCTCGGTTGGTGCGGGCAGGTTCGAGGATGGGGTAAGGAGTCGGCGCCTTCCCACCTGGTATATCTATACGACCAGGCAGAGGACCCCAGCCGGCCGCCCGAGAAGAAAATCATCTCGGCGCTCTACCTGGAGACGCTCCAGCCAGGGTCAGTGTCTTACGAGTGGGAGGGTGTGACGGTATCGGAGAACGTTTAAATGCAGCGAGTGTCCTTGGAATGAGAGGGTGTGTAAATGTATCCGATGAACGTTTCACTTCTGGCATTTCAGCCATGGGTTTTACTTCTTTTGATGTAATTTCAAGGCTCAAGCATAACGTTTCATGTATTGTCTTACTTCTAATCTTTGTTTTACTGGAACTCATCGATTCAATCAATGTCATTTAGCTTTTCTCATCTAAGTCGATATTGAAGGTTCATAATTAAATGTCGCTTATACTGTTGGTGGCCTATTCATTCTCATGGACAGTATGAATTGAATGGATGACCACAGGTTCACTTCCTGCTAAGCAGAATTGTATGCTCGCTGTCAAACATAACGACAAATTCGCCCGTCCATGCTTGCGTCTACATATACATAGTGGTGGTGTGGCCGTTTTTAACCGATTTATGCTGAACCCAGAAGGCCCTGGTGCTGCCAACAGTCGGTGGTTGGGGTCCAGTCAGTGTCCCTGTGACGGCTGTATGGGTTCACTCAGTATCCCTCTGGGCTCTGACCGCGGTCTCAGCCGGGCGGGGCGGTCGCTGACGGCGGGTCCAATCCGGCTCCGGCCGCGGCGGGCCGCTCTGCCGCTCGATCCGCGGCAATCAGACCCGGCCCAATCGGGGCTCCGCTACTGGCGGTCGCACGGCGCCGGCATGCCAAGCTCTGACGGAGCGGCTCCCCACCCGGGCCGACTGCGGAGCGGGCCGCCAAAGTTGCCTGGTTAATGCTAACACATGGCTGTCAGAAACGAGATGGCTGTCCGCGAGAGACATCGAGCCTTTATTACAGCGGGGCGATGTATGAGAAGTGTTGCCTGCTGTATGAAAATATGGTGCGCTTCCTTTTTTATGTTTTTACAGCTGCCTTCTTTTCTCAGAAGTGTTGCCGGCTGTATGAAAATATAGTGCGCTTCCTTTTTATGCTTTTACAGCAGCCTTCTTTTCTCGGATTGGCCAAATCGTCATCTGTCACTCGATTGTTAATTACTTGATATCCGGTAAAATGCATACCTACCTAAAGTTAAAAATGCATTCAGCACACAACGATGCACCCTGGGACTAAAAAAAGGACCCTAATCCTGTGCAGTAAGCATCAGCATTAGGGATCTGCTGGCATTATACAACAATTCTATTCCCTGGCAAGTGGCAACCGTCCCTCCAAACTGTTGTGCGTGTCGGCATAAAACGTTGGCTGTTTATAGCCTGTCCCGCCGTGGGATTGTGCCTCTACCTGCCTCGCCGTGTGAGTGCGCCGCTCTGTCCCGCCGTATAATTGTGCCGCTGTCTGTCCCGCCGTGGGATTGTGCCTCTGACTGTCTCGCCGTGTGAGTGCGCCGCTGCACTATGGTTGGAAACGGCCTCACGGATGGCCATGGGCAATTTCGGAATATATGTATATTTGGGGTGTCATTCGGTTGGAAATTGATGAAATGTTTTGAATTGGGCAGAAAGAAATATTTAGTTGCCCATTTAGTCTTCATTATCGTACGTGGAATCGGGAGTTTCTGATGGTGGCTTTTTGGTGCGCCGTCAAAGGTTTAAACAACCGCGCTGGTGATAGCATGTGGAGTACCTCAATGACGTTGTAAAACTGGATTGTTATATATGAAAATAATCCTTGTTATGTTGGCTATCGAGTGGAGTGACTCTTTTTCCCATGCGTGTTCAAAATCAGGAACGACATTGCATTCTGTTTGCAGTGTCACCACAGCAACATTTGCAAAATTACGTTTATGTTTCATTGGACTTACAAAAAGTTCTCCATCGACCTCCATCGAGCTTTTTGGCAGAATAAATCTCTGTTCAATTCTGCGTAAGGGAAACCTAAAAGCAAACTGCGCACTTGTGCGCAAAATCTTCTGTGAAGCTTCATCTCCCGAGGCGTACCTACCCGTCGCTTCGTTAGCAGCGGGTCGGCTCGTCAGTCGTGCAATCGCTTATCCTAATAAATGATGGTAAGAAGCATGGGATTGCGGAGTCGTGGTGGCGCCAAATCCGACTCCGACTACGACTCCGACTCCAGACTCGTTGCCATGACTCCGGGTGACTCTGTCTCAGACTCCGGACCCCTGCCAGTGTTTCGGAGTCGTGATGGAGCTGTTCCGATTCGGACCGACTCCGACTTCCACTGCGGGCTCCTGACCGACCCCGACTCCGACTCCGACTCCTGGCTCGTTGCCACGACTCTGGGCGACTCTGACTCCGACTCCGACTCTGACTCCGACTCTGACTTCGACTCCGCACCCCTCGTAAGAAACTGCTCGCCCCTGCACCTGGAGTATGGATATCGTGCAAACGTGTATGGATATCCTGGAGTATGGATATGGATATCCACTGACAGAACAGACATACAGACATGCTGTAAACGCCATTACACTGCCAATAGCATGACAAATCAAATGGCTATCTATGCTTTTTGATCATCGTTCTACATTTTCCAAAATCTTGAACTGAATGTTGGCAATTTCTCGTGACTACTTCACGATTATGATGCGTGCATTTCTGAAATTGATCTTTTTTCAACCAACCACGTACTCGTATGATAAAATGAATGTCACCATCGTGTTCTACGCCCAAAAGTATCCATAAAACATGTGTCATGGGCTGCGAATAGGTACCAGTTTTAATTTTCGGGGTTATGTGCTTACCTGATTGACCTGACTTTGACCCTGGCCTATGTTTGACTGACTCCTACATGGATCTGACACTCTTTTAGCACTTATATGAAGGGTTGTGACAGTTGTGACAGAGTTTATGACGAGAGGCACCGATTGCGAGGTTCTAAAGTCCATGCTACTGAAAGCCCGATTTCAAGTGTTTGACCTGACCGACCTTGACCCGACCTGAGACCTCGAAATTCAACTTTTAAGTATTCATGTGAATCGTCTCGTCGCGTTCTTCTTTCGTTTGCCGCCTCGTGCGTTTCGCTGTGCCTATTTGTTCGCGAGATATCGGCTGGGGGCGTTGAACGCCCCCCCCCCCGGCAAACGGCGGGTGGGGAAATACCCCAGCAACTGCCGGGCTAATCTGACGCATTTTTTTGTCATTTGATCGTCATTTTATTTCTTACTTTTTTGCCCAATCTAAAAAAATCATTAATACTTTTTCTCCAAATTTTTTACCCTTTATGACGAAAAGTAAGACACTGTGCGTCACTACGTTGATATTTCTCGCCCTAAAGCATAACAACAATATCCATTCAGTAATAGCAGTATTCAAAACATGTTCAAAATGCCTCGCGATATCGATAACATTACGAAAGACATAGGCGACTTATAACATACTTGCAATGATGACGTCACACACGCGTGACGTGACGTGACCTCGTCATTTCTGAGTTACTGTATGATGCACGAAAGACACTGGTATACCTATGCAAAGTTTCATCGCAGTCGGTCTACGCATTAACAAGTTATGTGCAAAACATTTTTTCGCGTTGACCCCCGGCCATCCGTGAGGCCGTTTCCAACCATAGTGCGCTGTCTGTCTCGCCGTGGGATTGTGCCGCTGTCTGTCCCGCCGTGGGATTGTGCCTCTACCCGCCCCGCCGTGTCCCGCCGTGTCAATGTCCCGCCAGCTGCTCCCCACCGTGTCGCCGCGCTCGGGTGGCGTCTCACCCCTGTCTGCGGCACTCTCGGCTGTCAGATTATCCCGCGGCCGGACGCCGGTGCCGGACCGGAGTCGGGCCGGCACCGCCGACAGCACTGACGGCCGCGGCCGGACCGCCGCCGCAGTTAGCCGGCCTCTGCCGCCGCCCGCCGCCGCCGCCGCCGCCGCCAGAAAGGCCTCCGCCAAGGTACGGTCACTCTCCTCCGGGCGAGTCTGTGCTCTCTCGACCAGTCCGGAGCGGAACTTGTCGCCGTCGACGGGCAGACAACTTCCAAAGGGCGGGGCGCGCCGCAGCTGGCGCCTCGACGGCCCGTGTTACCAGGGGTCCGCTTAAGGCGCCGTCGCATCTGACACGCCCTGAATGATAGGACAAATCGCTGGAGGAGAATTATTGATGTTTTGATCCTTTGGCCCCATGATTAAGAAAATGCTTTTATGAATGCATGTTATGAAAACGATGAAGCCAACTGACTAAAACATACCTACCGTAGTCCGAAGCGGCACATCGATATTATTTCTTTTGACACTTTTGGTTGGCTTCCTTTTATCGCATGTGTCCTTGTTTCTTCGGTTATTTTTTATAATATATTTCTTAATTGTTCGAAATTTTCATTTCTTGCCCCGTTTTTCTCCCGTGCTGTTTTTATAAGGCGATTTCCGATTCGTTTCTTTTGTGTGTCACGTTTCGTCTTCAGCTGTTCGAATGTGCATATAAGGACCCGGAGTCCCAACAGTCATAATAGCGATATACCTAACTACGAGCTTGGGAGAACGAGAGGAACTCGCCAGATGCTGCCATTCGGGAGAGTGGGGCTATGCGTTACACTTTTTGGTCTTCTGCACGTAGTGGCCAAGCTATTCAATGAAATTGCACCAAATTTGGTCACATGCTAGCTGAATCAATTTGGAAAGCACATGCAAACTTTCACTTCTTTACGACTATTCACTTTTATGTGAAATTCAGAAAACCAAAGCAAGATTTTTTGGGTAAGTTGAAAAATTGTGGGGCAACTTGATACACGATATGGGGTAACATGTTACACTTCTTTTTTTCGCAGTTTCTTCATCATTATAACGGTCATTGGCCGTCCTATCGGAACCGATCGTAAGCCTCCCTAATGGATAATACTAAACATGCTTTCCTTTCTCATTGAAAGGCAAGAACAATAAAACATAAACCATTACTGTACTCCACACGCATGAAAAGGTTCATCAAACATGGCTCAATCTCTGATTTGCCTTTACTGCGACGCCAAGGGCACCATGCATTGCCATACTGACCGGAGTTTGATTTTCTGCACGAAATTTACGCCCAGGTGAAATGGAGCGCGCTATAAGCAGTCTTGGGTAGCCATCTTTAAACATGCCCCGGCCCTGCGGCGGCCGACTTTCACAGGACTGAACTCAAATGTTTGTTTACATGAAGAGGCTAGTGCGTTTTACTTGGTGATCTTACAAAAGAAATCATCGCTTAATTTTGTGAACATACATTCAACATTCTTACCCAAATAACCTTGACAAAAAACGACCCAAAGTGTTGGCCAGCAAAAAATACTTTTGCTGTCACAACTTACCCCAGTGCGCCTACAGGGCGACATGGCGTTCCACCAGGTCTGAGCCTGCAGTGACATGTAGAATGTGCGTAACCTTTCTGCTAGCGTAAATATTGGCGCCATATCAAGAGTATTAAAAAAAAAAAAATATTTCCTTTTTAACAACTTACCCCTGTAACAACTAGCCCCACTCTCCCCTACTAGACGTATCCGTATCTCGCACGTATCCGTTGGTCGATGGTGTCATGTTGTTGCGAGACCGTGGACAACAATATTGTTATATATAGGAAAGCGAAAGTTTATGTGAGGCAACAGACAGCCAACAGTCTCGTCTCGATTTACATTTAATACTAGGGCTTGTGGTCTCATTGCATCTATTTTGCATTATCATTTTTCTGTGTTTAAGGGACCCTCCCACCTTAACATTAGATTTGAGTTGAGATAGCCAAAATGGGGTCCCTGGCTCACAATTACCGGTTTCGGCACTCACAACATCCAGAAATGCCTTAAATCGGAAATATTGAATTTCAAAATTGCAGCATTTTGATTCAGAGGGGCTAATGCATAGGAATACCCCTCTGAATGTGTGACGTCAGCGCAGATATCTAACGATTTTTAAATGTTTGACTAAAACGTTTTGTAGCACGCGGTGGTATATGCTGCTTTGCGCGCAACAAATGCCGCACTTTCAAATAAAGTCGCTATAGGAACAGCGGAGATCCCAAAAAGTAAACAAAAGTAAAAGTCTAATATCTTGAAAACCGGTGAATATTTTTCGATGAAATTTGGTAGATATTTGTTTTTGCTCTTTCTGAACCGAGCGACATCACTTTCATGCCAATTCATTTACTTTTTTGAAGGTGGGAGGGTCCCTTTAAGGCTTTCGCTATTTTACGACCCATCGCCATGTGTAGGGGAAGCCGGGGGAAGCCCGGCATAGTAAGCTCTTTTTCATTTTTATTACATACCATACGTGCTGTATAAAATGTTGATATCCTGCTAGCTAGCTAAGTTCATTGGCCGTGTTTTCCCAAAAATTCGGTTTCGTGGAATAAGTATAAGGTTGAGAAAATCGAGTTTTAAAAAAGTGTTGATTTTTCTGGGGTAAGCCCGGCATAGGGGTAACGCCGGCCACCTCCCCAGCGCTTTACAGCGAGTTGATGAAACCATTATGTGTTTTCCAAATATTAACGGAAAGTGAAATATTAAGGTACTGATTAGCTCTGGACATCTTAGAGTTTATGTCACTACTGGTATTTTAGCTAGCGTCTACTACATATACAGTACAGGTCGATGAAAATCGTCATGCAAAATTGACAAAAAATGTGTATTTCAAAATTCCTTAAAATCTATTTTTCTTTTTACCTTAATGCATCATATTGCATATCATTCGACTCGGCTGATGAAGAAGAACACAACGACACCATTTTTGAAGCTCTAGCTTCATTGTCTGTCGCGTTATCTGCAAAAACGTAGTTTGACCCTAGTTGACCTTAAGTGACATGACTGGCTTTGTCTTTGATAACATGTTTATTTTCGAAATTTATCTTTGATCTAGGTGTAACCCAAACCTGCTCAGTACCTATTATCTCATGGAAAACAGTGGTTTAGTGGCATTGCTCTCGGTTGGGGGTAAGCTTGGCCACTTGCCCGGGGTTACCCCAAAGTGCTAATTTTTATTTTAGAACAGCGATATTCAAAAAAATGTCATACTTAAGCCAGCCTGCCTCGTCACCCCTCACTACAAACACTTAAACGGTCCTTACATAACATTCGTATAAATATTAGTACTGTATGGTATAACATTAACAGTGCAACATATCTCACTTTTTTGCTAAAAACCCTTAAAATATCATTTTTGCGCTATAACTTTAACAATATGCAATTTTTGTCAGCCTTAACTTTTTTGCTGGCGTTACCTTAGCTGCCACGCTGAAAGGACAAACAGTTGAGCATTTTATTGTGAATAATTTAGCCGGAAACGGGGTGGCCGGGCTTCCCCCGCGCCCGGGCTTCCCCCGGCTTCCCCTAATATCGGGACTTCGTGATTTTATTTACGATCCCCATTTGAGTGTCGTATGATCGATCATGGTATGTAATCCCCTTCCCGAGTCCCAAAGGACTGTGCATACATTTCCCTTAACAGTCTTCCATTTATTCAGGCCTATGGGGGCTACATAAGAATAATCACTGTATAAAATGAGGACCATGTGCGTTCAGTTAAAAGGTCTGCCGTATAATAGCCCTCGGCAAGCGTTAATCGGTAAGATACACAGCGATATCTGGTGTGTATCACTGCTGATGTGAGTACCCTCGTTCGGACAACACGTCACATCATTGGTGTACGTGACGCGGACGCGGTGTGCCGCACTCCGAGTAATGGGAATCCGATCCGCCGCAGGCCGCGATGAAACTGCCCATCAACGAGAGGAAGCCCCGTCCCGGCAACGCGCATCGGGTCAGAGCTAAAACGCCAGGTCAGTGCACTGCAGCGACAAGCCGGGACAGCGAACGTTCACAATCTCCTCCTTTCAAACCTAGACTGCAGCAGTTGGGCTGATAGCATTCGCAAAGTACCGTGGAAAGGACCTGCATCACAGGCCGAATATTCCCGACAGCACTTATCGTCCTCTACCAGTGTTGATCAGATGACTCGTGTTACCGGTATAACTCGATGACAGCAAAAAGTAACATCTACTGGTAAATGGCTTTGCGATTGACATCAATACCACCACCATTTCTGACCACGGCATACTGTTCATAACCCGAATAGGAATAGGATTGACAATCATGTAAACGACAAATTGTTGGCGTGTCAATGCCACAAACACTGAAAGAGCAAAGTTATCCCTGAGTTTTTTTTTAAGTCAGACAAAAGGCATGCGAATTGCGAGACACCCATGCATGCCCTGTCGTGCGGTACAGTTTACATACAGGGGTAACATGTCGTGCCGCACAGTCTAATAGGGGTTACATGTCGTGCGGCACAGTCTACATACACGGATCACATGTCGTGCGGCACAGTCTACATACAGGGGTAACATGTCGTGCGGCACAGTCTACACACAGGGGTAACATGTCGTGCGGCACAGTTTACATACACGGATCGCATGTCGTGCGGCAGAGTCTACATACAAGGGTTACATGTCGTGCGGCACAGTCTACACACAGGGGTAACTTGCCGTGCGGCACAGTCTACATACAGGGGTAGGTAACATGTCGTGCGGCCCAGTCTACATACAGAGATCACCTGTCGTGCGGCACAGTCTACATACAGGGGTAACATGTCGTGCGGCCCAGTCTACATACACGGATCACATGTCGTGCGGCACAGTCTACCTACATACAGGGGTAACATGTCGTGCGGCACAGTCTACATACAGGGGTAACATGTCGTGCGGCACAGTTTACATACACGGATCGCATGTCGTGCGGCACAGTCTACATACGTGGGTAACATGTCGTGCGGCACAGTCTACATACAGGGGTAACATGTCGTGCGGCACAGGCTACATACAGGGATTACATGTCGTGCGGCACAGTCTACATACAGGGGTAACATGTCGTGCGGCACAGTCTACATACAGGGGTCCTCTGTCGTGTGGCACAGTCTACAATACAGGGGTCACGTGTCGTGCGGCACAGTTTACATACGGCACAGCACCTGTCATACGGCATAGTCTACACCAGGGCCTCCTCTAACATGTTAACTGGGGGGCCGCGCCCCCCCCCCCCCAGTGATGCCGCTGGCCCCCCCAGTTGAGCTGAAATCGCGTTACTGGGGGGGCCACTCAGTTAAGCAAATCACGTAGAAAAACGAGGAAATTTCACTGTAAGCTTACCAAACAAACAATCCAGACTATCTCCACGATCACCACGTTACTAATTTTAGTTTCCTTATATCGTTGGTTTCTTATCTACAGGTTTTTTTTTTTAAGATCCGCCTAGGATGAGCCGCAGAATGAGGTCAGACATTGCAGATTTTATAATCGAACGCCGACTGAAGCCCAAGTGGGGCATCACTTTGAGAAGGAAACAGCCCGAACGGTCGCCCTCTATAGTCTCAATCAGTCAAGCGCTTACGGTTCAACACGGAGAAGTATTATGTTTTCTTTTTTTCGGGAGACGGGTTTATTCTTGAAGAGTAATTTTTTTACGGTCAAATAAGAGTGCGGCTGAGCTTTATAGCACCATATAAAAGTTTTTTTCCAGTGTTTGGCACTATAGTTCGTTTATTTTCAAAAGGACGCTGGCTCAAAGTTCAATATCGAAGCTCTCACGTGAGTTTTGGCAGCTTCAGTGTCTGGCCAAGAATTTCTTACCGAAAAAATAATCGATTTCAAATTTTGCACGGTAAGTAGCTGGAAATTGTTTCTTAAAAATGAACATACTATGATGACGTCACTGGTGGCAGCAGACACCCAAATGCCCGTGCAGTGGGACAAGTGTCAACGAATTTGAGTGAAACTTAGTTTTTCACTGTTGCCGAGCTTATAATCGAGTGAGCGGTTCCGTCCATGATAGTCATAAGTTAAATTGAAATACATGTTCGACAGCATGACGTCACCGCTGTTATCATATCTGCTTCCAAAACGCCCATATGGAAATTATCGGGAAGAAATCACATGTTAAAATTAGTCGACGTTCGATTTTCTCAGGTTCAGTTTTTGCTCGTTTTGCTCGCTAAAACACGTGCTTGTTCGAAAAACATACTTGGAGCCAGCGTCCTTTTGAAAAAAAAAAAAACGAACTATAGCAGCGATAAGCCTTCTCACTTATTGAGGGGTTGATAGACCCCACCCCTAGCTTTTTTGCGAATAACTCGCATAAAAATTGGCCCAGCGTGGCAAAAAAATTAGTAGGTACTCTCGCGATTAGTTCAATTCTACACATTTCCTGAAAATGTAATTACCCTGTTCCCTGACCCTCATTCTCATTGACCTGTGGCCTGTTTCTTGAGTCATTTTCAGGCAAATAGCTTTTTAGGATGGTGAGCTGTTTTCAGGCAGGTAGCTGTTGGTTTCCAGCGTTTGGGAAATGGATGCCTAAGCCCTCACATTTTCTGCGGTCGGTTAGATTCCTTATGCACTGCTGTGCCGTTTAATGCTTTTTTTTAATAAAGGCATTTTGTTTCATTTTCGGAAAGCCGGAAGCTTTCGTCGATTTCGGACGTTGCGGGGGATATTTACCCCAAATGTCACCCTGCCCGTGCCGGTCTGGATCTACCGGTATAGGGTCGTGGCCTACTATTTCTTTTTTTTTTCTCAAAATAAAAATGAAAATCATGGCATCAGGGCTGTGACGAAAAAATTATAAGTGGCCTAAATCCGATGAGAAAACCGGATTTGGGGGTACCCTAGGTTTGACTTCTGAGCCTCTGCCCCCCCCCCCCAGTGAAAATTCCTTAGAGGAGGCCCTGGTCTACACAGGCATTAGCTGCCATGCGGCACAGTCTACATACAGGGGTAGCCTGTCGTGCGGCACATTCAATACAGGGCTCATCAGTCGTGCGGTGCAGTCTACATGCATAGGGTAAGGTGCCTAATTAACGACCCCCTTAATTTGAACCGTCATTGCTCACGCTCTATGGGTGCCACTGCATTACTGGCTTGATTTTCGGAGAGATCGTTCATTTTTCTATTATCATATAGTCATTTTCTGCCCCAATATCCATTAATTTATTTGTAATGAGCATTTTAGCAAACCATTGCAAAAAAAAACGCTAATAGGGAACGAACTCTTCCCGATTAGCGACCGGGGAGGGTCGCTAATAAATCTATGGGTTTTCCCATATTAAAAATGGCAAAAAATGCGACGCCAGAAAAGATGAAGTATGATCCCAAAAAGGTAACCTATACGCAAAGCACTCAATAACAGGAACGCTTATCCAACACGTATACGTAAGTAAAAACTGATCACGTAATGCACCGAAGGCGAAAAGAAGACGAAGACCCGAATTTTGCGGGCTATCTATCTCGTATGATATTCGGGGTTCGCGCTGGATTCGGCACCCCATGCAGTCGGTGACGACATTTGGCATCCCCTGCCACACATTGTAAGCTTCAGCAAAACCTCATTTTCATTTGTCTTTTTTCCCCTTTCTTTCCCTTCTTGAGCTATTTGCGACCATGTCGGACGCGAATAGGAAATATGAGTTGGGACACATTTTTAACCGCCATGCAGTGTACAGTTAACTGTTAAGCGATTCACTATGGGAAAGCGACAATCAATTGAATAAGGATTGTCAATTCAGAATAAAAGAGGTGCATCATTCTAATGTGCATCGCTTTTCATCAGAGAAGGCCCAAATACACACGTTTTGAATAAGAAACTCGTAATTTTTATTTAAACTCACCTGAATCGTCCCACCAGAAACACCGACAACCGGAAAATATTTTAATTTGATACCCAAAGTACGGCAGACCTTTTGACAATGTTTTTACCCCGCTTTCTCCTGCCAGTTTTTCTGTAGGGAGGTAGGTCGCAAATAGGAAAGGGTCGCTAATTAGGCACCCTACCCTATGGGTAACATGTCATGCGGTACAGCCTACCTACAGGGATAGTCTGCCGTGCGGTACAGTCTACATATAGGGGTAACATGTCGTGCGGCACAGTTTACATACAGGAATTGCTTGTCGTGCGGCACAGTCTACATACAGGGGTAACATGTCGTGCGGCACAGTCTACATAAGGGGTAACATGTCGTGCGGCACAGTCTACATAAGGGGTAACATGTAGTGCGGCACAGTTTAGATACAGGGATTACTTGTCGTGCGGCACAGTCTACATACGTGGGTAACATGTCGTGCGGCACAGTCTACATACAGGGATCCTCTGTCGTGCGGCACAGTCTGCATACAGGGATCAACTGTCGTGCGGCACAGACTATATACAGGGGTAACATGTCGTGCGGCACAGTCTACATATGTATAGGGCTCATCTCTCCTGCGACACAGTCTACATCCAGGGAACACCGCTATTAGGACGGGAGATCTGAATCGGCGGGTTTTGTTACAGAAAGCCTTCGTGTACGATATGGTCCTATATATAGCATAAAAAAACTGACAAAATTGCTAGATTATTTTTGCATATTATAAAGTGATAGACGTGGCTCAGGTGAAGTGTGACGCGTGTTCCGCGCTCCGCTGTCAGGTGATGAGGTGGACGGGGTGTCGGGCCGCAGCCCATCCGGAGCCCGGCCGCCGGCGGCGCCGCCTCGGCGCAAGTCGCCGGGTCCGCGGCCGGGCGGCCCGCTGAGGGTGGCCGCCGGGCCGGAGCCCTCGGCCGACGGCCAGGAGCGCGGCCGGCCCGTAGCCGTTAGACGACCCCCGGCCGGCGAGAGGCCCCCGACTGCCGCCGCCGCCGGAGGGGCGCCAGCCGAGAGCCCGGCGGCGGCGCGCGAGGCGCTGGCCGCCCTGATGAAGAGTCCGCCAGAGCCGACCCGGGTCAGGTCACCGGAGACGTCTGCGGCGCTGCGGTCGCCCGAGGCGGTCAACTGGACGCTGCCGCTGGACACCGCGCGCGCCTTCACCGTGACCCAGAACGTCGGCGGCGGTAAGCGCCCAGCACGGCGGCTGGCGGAGGGCGGGGAGGGGTACCGGGGCGTGGTATGTATAGTCGACTACAGAATGATGTTCCACTCCTCAGAAGCTATCAGTTGACCGGAGTGCTAAGTTGTGCCGTTTATCACGCAATTAAGCGTGTCGATAGTGAACATTGGGACAAAGCTATAATTTGTGAACTCAGCTCGTGTGATGCGGCACAGCCTACCACTCCAGGCAAGTAATTCCAGGCCTGTGAAAAATGGAACATCATTCTGTAGTCGACTATACATACCGAGGGTCACCGGAGGGGCACCGGGGGCGTATATGGTACTGAGGGTCACCGGCGGGGGTAGTAGGTACATACTAAGGGTCACGGGAGGGGCACTGAGGGTTGCAGGGGTCTCTAGCTACGGTCTGTTAGTGGCCGGCACTGGCAGTCGGAGGTCGCCAGTTTGGACGTTTCACCTTTGGCATGGCACCTATACCTACCGTATACGCAGACTGCAGATGCTTCTTGGAGTGTGAATGCTGGATTCGCTGCTCGTGCTCGTGCTGTCTCCTTCCATTTTCGCGTCGCCCGGCGGTGCGCCGTTCCATAACGCAGTGTTTCTCTTGATGACCCGTCGTATTTTTGGCCCGAAGGTTGAAATACACCACACACGGAAACGAGCCGACCGCGGACCGGCGGACGGGGCGCCCGCTCGGAAATTTAATGAGCCTCCTCCCGTCCGAGCGAAGCTGATAAATTGAGCTCGCCTGTTTCGTCCTCCCGGGTCAGACGTCATCGATTCCGCTCAGATGACCTTTCACCGCTGCATGGTTTCAGACCCTGAGTTATGGCTTTCTGTTGGAAAGGGATGAAGGTCACTGGTTATAGAGATAGGTACCTAACTACCTAGTACCTACATAGCTACAGCTTCCTTCCTCAGGTATCAATGGTGAGGGCTGGTGATTGGTTAGCTTATGCACCTACAGTTCACTAAGTCAGTCAGTCACAGGCAGGCGCCGCGCCGCTGTGTGCGGTTGTTTGACCCCTGGCCGTGCGGTGACCGGGGCGGGTGGGCTGCCCACAGGTCAGTCGCGGTCGGCCCGGCCGCGCAGCTCCCACTCCACGTCGTCGGGGCAGAGTCAGATTAGCCCGCTGCACCGCCAGCTGCTCACAGAGGCGATGGCGGCCCGCGCCGAGCCGCCGCCGCCCGCCCTGTACGACGGACACGGCTCGCCCACGCCGCCGCTCGTCCGGCCCGCCGACGCGCCGCCTGCCGGCGACTCAGGGCAGCAGAACTTCACCGACCGGCCGCCAGGGGCGCGGCTGTTCAGCGCCGGCTCCGCGGCGCCGGCGAAGGCAGCTGTGGTAGAGATGTCGGGGGCCGGGAAACCGGCCGTCCCGGTCAGAGCAGACGGCCGGGAGGCGCCGCAGTACCACGTGATCTAGGCCCGTCCAGACAGCTGAGCCACTCCCAACTTCCCCACCGCCAGACATGGAAACCCGGCAGAAGCCCCGCAGGGGGCTCGCTCCGAACTAGGATGTAAGCCAAAGCCCGCTCAATTTCCTCCAGAGAGCATCTCAGCACACTACTGCGGACTCCTTTCTGCCGCCCTTCTAGACAGCTGCACCGACCGTCCGAACTCTGCCGTAGGTTTGCGCGCCGTCTGTAGCCCCGTTCGCCGTCGAGTCTCCGGCGGGACGGGGTAGGCGCGGCCGTTCCTGCCGGTCTGTAGCGGCAGTGGAGCGCGCTCTCATCGCCAGATTAGCTCGGCGCCCGGCTGCTGAGGACGGCTGCTCTGTTCCCGCCTGATTGGAAGGCTGTGCACTGATTATTACGATCCGTATGTGTGTGTGTGTGTGAGCCCCTGCCGTACATTCCAGGTTTATATTACTTAGCTTACGATAGCGCGGAGGCTTTAGCAGCTTGTTCGCTTCTGGCGCGGCGGCTCAATGTGAGGCGGCGCGGTGCCGGGAGGGGCGGAGGGGAGAGGTGGCTGACGTGTCCACCATCAGGTACTTGGTCCTTCCAGCAGCGCCGCGGTGCGCCGGCCCAGGTGCTCCGGCGGATGCGGGGCCCTATGGCCGGCGGTGTGGGGCTCCGCCGCCGCTCAGTGGCTGTCGGGCGAGTCTGTTCGCCGCCGGCGCCACCCCGGGGGGATCGAATCGGGCCCGGCCGGGCAGCGCTGTGTTGTCAGCTAATAAACCAGGCGTATCGCCGACCACAGAAGCGCGGCTGTCGGTGCATAGCGGAGCGGGCGGCTGGTGACAACACACGGCACACCGGGCCTCACATCAGCACGGCAGCGACTGATGATAACACAACATGCACTTATCGTGGGCTGGAATAAGCACAGCGCAGCCGTCACAGCCCGCTCCCCTTCAACCGCCTCTACATGCAAGCCTCAGTATTATGCAATGTTTATTTCACGTTCCAAATTTCGGAAAGCAACGTAAAACCAATCTCGCGGCGTGTACCATTCGAACAGAAACAGATCTGACTGCGGCCATAGAAAACCACTCTCACACACGAGTGTCGGGCGCAGCCGGTGGCCGTGCTTGTCACAACTCTGGCAGCTGCCGCCGGAGCGGGCTCCGCCGTCCGCCGTGGTCCGGTCAGCGGAGGCGTGCGGCCGCCCCGGGCCGTCCACCCGGGGGGACACGGAGGTCGCCGGAGCACCGGTCAGCCGGGAACACTCAGTTATGGGCGGTCCGGCTACAGGCGAACGCCGGGGGGGGGGGGGGGACGCTCGGAGTATCACGGGTTCGCACGGCCGAGAGACCAGGCTGGACGCGATCGGCAGGAACTGGGGGGCGGGGGGCAGCGACTGACGGCGGGGGGGGGGGGCAGCGACTGACGGCGGGGGGGGGCAGCGACTGATGGCGGAGGGCAGCAGCAACAGCGACTGAAAGGGGACGAACGACGGCGTCTGACGGGGAGTGGGGAGCAGTGGCTGCCGGGTTTAGAGCGAACAAGCGACGCGAATGCGGTACAATGCACATCAGAGTGCTCAGATTGCACGCCTCTTCCCGGAGCGATAGTCGTGAACAGGAGCGACAGCAAGGCACGGACCCAGTCGAGCGAGACAGTGACGAGAGGTGCCTACGGGCCAGGGCGCGCCGTCCAGGAAAGACATCGTATTTATGAAAGCAACAACTCGTCTTCGGTATCTCTCCTAGCCGGCGAGGGGAACAACAATGCCATGGGATTCGGGGGAGTCTATGACAGCGAGCAAGCGACGAGCAACAACAATCATCACGAAGGCGGCGTCTGCGGCAGTTGGGCACGGTGCACGGGTCCGCTGCCGGTCGGTGGCGGCGCCGGCGGCTCAGCGCCGCGCTGGCGCCGGCCGGCCGCCGTCAGTCCTGCAGGCACCGTCTCTGGCGGCCGGCCCGCCGAGCAGGGCCGCCCGTCGGCCACGGACGGCTACGACACACATAACACACGGCGGACACTCCATCACTCAGAGACTCGCAGCGGGCGGCGCGGCGCGGCGCGGCGGGCCACGGCCGCACCTCTCTCCACTCACACACACACTCGCACACACCTGGCGCTCGCCGGTAGCGTCCTGTGCCGGCGGCGCGCCGAGCTCACAGTTTGATCACAGCAGGGCGTGGTGAGCGCCCGGGCGGCCGGCGCCGGGCCGGGCCGCACTCAGAGCGGCGCCGCCGCCGCCGCCGGCACCGCAGGCCGCACACCGTTCTGTACGGCCGGCCGCGCGGCGAAAAACACGGCCGGGTCACGCGCCGCCTCCTCATAAACTGCCGGGCAGAGCGGGCGTCAGAGGTGTCACAGCGAAACCCGTCGTCAGAGGGAAACACCTGTCAGTCAAAGGTGCAAGAGGTGACTGAGGTGTCACATGGAAAACCCGGTGTCAGAGGGAAGCGTGTGTCAGAGGTGTCAATGGGAGAACAGGATGATGTGCCGGAAGACCTTAAATAAGAGCTCAAATGCATTATGGGCAGCTTTTGCCAATACCGGAAAATAGGGACCTTTAAAGAGTTGCAAATGCAGATCAAATTCATTTGAGTACAAAAACAAAGAAGAAGAAAACAGAACATTCGTGTCATTAGCGCATAAATTATCAATTATCGGCGTAAAGCTAGCAGAATTGCGGTGGTGACAGGTCAGGATAGGAGGCGCCAGGAAAAGGGTGAAGAGTGGGCGCAACGATACCCAAACGTTTTACAGTGATATCAGAGCATTACGTATGGGCTAAATGCTCACATACGCTCTCACAAACTTCTCCCAGACATTCACCAGCTCCGCGCTCTATCTCACACTCCGGTTCCGGCCGCGGTCGACTCACCTTTGCTGAGGTAGGCGACGATCTCGGCCCAGTTGAACCGGCTCACATCGACGACGGGCGGCCGGAACCGGCGACAGAACGCGTCCACAGCGGCGGCCGCGGCCGCGGCGGCGGCGGCGGCGGCCGGCGGCGGTGCACACGGCTCGCTGCACTGGTCGATATAGCCGAACTGGATGCCCTGCACCTGCGCACTGGCCGCGCCGGGCGCCGCCGAGACCTCCAGCGTCCCTCGGATGGTGACCGCCGGCGCCTTTTTGGTCCGCCGGCCGGCCGACGCCGCGGGTGCGGGCCGCTCGGCGGCATTGTTCGCGTCACTGGACGGCGCCGTCGGCACCACGGGGGAGGCCGGACTGCCCGATACCGCACTGCCCGTGTCCCGACTGGCCAGCGCGGCCGCGGCGGCCGGCGCCGGCGCCGCGGGCGGCCTGTCTGCTCGGGCGTCGGCGGAGGCGGCGGGGACCGTCACTGGGGCACCCGCTCCTCCGGCGGAGTCCTCAGAGGGCGCGGCGGCCGCGGACGGCGAAACACTGACAGCGCCGGCGGCCGGAGCCGAGGACACCGCCGCGGCGGCGGCTGCCGGGGCGGCCGACCCCGCGCGCGGCGACTTGGCAGCAGCAGCGGCGGCGGCGGCGGGCGCGGGCACGGGCGCAATCTCCGGGAACTCGTCCGGGTGCGAGCCGCCGATGAGGCCGTCGGCCGGCTCGGACGCGCCGCGCACGAATGCCGCCACGGCCGCCACCGGCCGGCCCCTGGGCGACGCGCGCTCGCCGAAGATGGGCCCCACGCCGTCGATAAAGTCTGTGGAGGTGCCGGCGTCACGTGTGCCGGCGGCGCGCTGCGGGGTCGGCGCCACGGCCGGCCCGCTCGCCTGGCTCTCCTGCCGGCTCCGGGTCACGTCTGCCCAGGAGGAGCCGCCGGAGCCACCGCTAGAGGTAGCGGCGGGGGCGGGGGCTGGAGTGGCGACAGCGGCAGCGGGCGTCACGTTGGGCGGCGGTGAGGCGCGCCCGGCTCGGCCGCCGCCCGCGTCGCCCAGGGACGGCGGCGGCGGCGGCAGGCTGCCGGCTCCGTCGCTGTCGCTGTCTGAGAGCTCAGAGTGCGGCGCGCTGGACGAGGTGACGTGCCTCTGACCGGGCACGTACGGCCGCCGCGGCTGGCCCGGCGGCTCCGGCGCGGCGCGCGCACTGTCGTCCAGGCTGTTAGTCTTGTGACGCAGCGCGTGCGGCCGGGATGAGTCGGCGGCACCGGCGCGCGCGCCGCCGCGCCGCCGCTGTTTGCGCGTCACCACGTGGAACTCTGTCTCCTCGATGGGGGTCGAGTCGGTGGTGACGCTGTAAAAGTCCTGCACGAAGCCCTCGCTGTCGCGCTCAGCCGCCGGCGGGCTCACGTACGTGCCGCCGTCGAAGGCCACCACCGTGGGGCCGGCCGGCGTCGAGTCGCTCTTCTTGAGGCTCGACTTGGCTAGGTCTCCGCAGAAGACACTGGTGCCGTCGGCGCGGCCGGCGGCCCCGTCGGCGGCGGCTCCGTCGGCCGCGGCGGCCGGCGCCGGCCGGGCCTCCAGACTGCTGCTGCGGCCGCTCGGCGCCGGCTTGGTGGCACCGCGGCCCGACGGGCGCCGCTCGTGGCCCCGGCCGCCGGAGCGCTCGCCGCGTGACGAGCGGTCCTCCTCGCCAGAGCGCACGCTCGGCTTGCGGCCCTTGGCGTCCTTCTTGCCCTCCTTGGCCTTGTCGGACTTTTTGTTGCCGTTTTTGTCCTTTTTGTCGCCGGACTCTATGAAGCCGAGGAGGTCCTCCAGGTCTTCCTTTCCCCGGTAGCCGTCCACGTTTTGTGTCAGCTGCTCCTCCTCGTGACCCTGCCGCGGTACATACCGTGAGCGGTGAGCGGGTGGACAATTGCACCACTCCGGGGCGGACAATGTCACGTAGCTTGGAGCCGTGGGCAGACAGACAACACAAATACAACTCGTCTGAATTGATACTCATCATATTACCCGCAGTGCTCCTGCCATCCAGCATGCTGCAATAAATCCAGCGAACAAGTACACCGCCCACTCCCCGCCCGGCCGTCCCTTCCGTTACCTTTTTCTTGCCCTTGCGCCCCTTGCCAGCGCTGGTCGGGCCGGAGGAGCCGGGTCGCTGACCGTTCACCAATCCGGTGCCGCCGCTCTCCGCCGCCGGCTGGCCACAGCGACAGGCAGGTCAGGTCAGCCGTCAGGTCAGGTCAGCCGTCAGGTCACCAAACAGACGGGCGCTATCCTACCCGGGTCGGTCACCGGTAACTCTCACAGCCACCTGACTACTGCCGTGGTCGGTGCTCCACGTGAAAAGCGTCTCTGTATCGTCTCGATAAGACAATTATGAGGCCAACACAGTCTGATGTCACTCTATGACTGCAGTCGACAGCACGATTTAAACTGCCGACCAATATGTTTCCCTGTGAATACGCTTGTAAACGCGCATATGAATAAATCGAGCCCCGCCCACACAGAGACGGTGAGGGGGCGCGCAGTGCCGTGCGGCGCTCCGTGGCCTCACCTGCAGCCGTCGACTGGAGGGCCCCAGAGGCTCGCCTGTGAACAAAGCCAGCCGCCCGACGGTCAGACGTCGGAGGGACACCCGGCCATGGCGGACATTGTCTTATCGAGCGTCACGTTCTAACAACGTCACATAACGGACCACGTCAGCCCGGTGACACTGATGACGTCATTAGTTCGGAACCAAACAGTCGTCAGGACGAGCTGTCCTGGCGTGTTATCAGCGTCGAACTGCCCGACACAGGGCCTCTCTGCGACACCGCAGCCCACCAAACACCGCCGGCGGGCCACTCCCACCACCCGTACACCCCGCGTCAGGGGGCGGCCCACGGGTGCGGGGCACTCCCGTCACCCGTACACCCCGCGTCAGGGGGCGGCCCACGGGTGCACGGCACTCCCACCATCCGTACACCCCGCGTCAGGGGGCGGCCCACGGGTGCACGGCACTCCCACCATCCGTACACCCCGCGTCAGGGGGCGGCCCACGGGTGCACGGCACTCCCACCATCCGTACACCCCGCGTCAGGGGGCGGCCCACGGGTGCACGGCACTCCCACCACCCGTACACCCCGCGTCAGGGGGCGGCCCACGGGTGCGGGGCACTCCCACCACCCGTACACCCCGCGTCAGGGGGCGGCCCACGGGTGCACGGCACTCCCACCACCCGTCCACCCCGCGTCAGGGGGCGGCCCACGGGTGCACGGCACTCCCGCCACCCGTACACCCCGCGTCAGGGGGCGGGCCACGGGTGCACGGCACTCCCACCATCCGTACACCCCGCGTCAGGGGGCGGCCCGCGTGTGCAGTCTGGCGCGGCCCTCCCGTGCGCGCCGCTCAGATGACGGACGGACCCACCTGGTGGCATGTCCTTCACATCCTCTTTGGTGTAGGTGGCCGGATGGACGGCCAGCAGCCGACTCACATCGCGCTCGACGCTGGGAATATCCACGCCGGCGGTGTACGGGGCTGAACGGGCCGGCGGCGCCTGCTGCCGCTGACGGACACAGCAGCGGTCAGACGGACACAGCACAGACAGACGGACACAGCACAGACAGACGGAAACAGTACAGACAGACGGACACAGCACAGACAGACGGACACAGCACAGACAGACGGACACAGCAACGGTCAGACGGACACAGAACAGACAGACGGACACAGCACAGTCAGACGGACACAGCACAGACAGACGGACACAGTACAGACAGACGGACACAGAGCAGACAGACGGGCACAGCACAGACAGACGGACACAGCACAGACAGACGGACACAGCACAGACAGACGGACACAGTACAGACAGACGGACACAGTACAGACAGACGGACACAGAGCAGACAGACGGGCACAGCACAGACAGACGGACACAGCACAGACAGACGGACACAGCACAGACAGACGGACACAGTACAGACAGACGGACACAGTACAGACATACGGACACAGCACAGTCAGACGGACACAGCACAGACAGACAGACACAGCACAGACAGACGGACACAGCACAGACAGACGGACACAGTACAGACAGACGGACACAGTGCAGTCAGACGGACACAGTACAGACAGACGGACACAGAACAGACAGACGGACACATAACAGACAGACGGACACAGCACAGAGAGACGGACACAGCACAGACAGACGAGCACAGCACAGACAGACGGACACAGAACAGACAGACGGACACAGCACAGACAGACGGACACAGCAACGGTTAGCCGGACACAGCACAGGCAGACGGACACAGCACAGACAGACGGACACAGCACAGACAGACGGGCCGGCGCTGTACGGGGCCGGACGGGTCGGACGGCGGCGCCTGCTGCCGCTGCCGGGTACAGAAGGCTGCCGGATGCCGCCGCCGCCCAGTCTGACATAACCACATTCAAAGCCATACAATAGACCACGGTGCCGACTTTCTCTAAATAATCGATCAGTGTAGCATTAAACTAAATGGACATTGACATGAAGCTGTGTTAGCGTAAAAAGGTTTACCATTTTACCATTAATTGTTAAATGCTAACAGCATAAAACAAAACCATGACGATTATGCTCTTCGAAATCACATTATCAAAAGGTTATTAGGCATCACCTTACCTATCAGCTCTCCCCCCCCCCCCGTAACAGCGCGGCGGCAGGTAGCCGGCCGACCCACTGTGCGGTCAGTACACTGTGCGGTCAGTCCGTACACTGTGCGGTCAGTCCGTGCACCCACCGGGTCCAGCTGCAGCGAGAAATCCACGGTGGCGTCCGGGGGCGCCTGGTCGGCGTTCGGCAGCCGCCCCGGCTCCGCCGAGCCGCCCCGGCTGCCGCCCGCCGGACGCGCCGCCGCCGCGCCCTCGGCGTCAATGTCGATGACGGCGGCCGGCGGCCCGGCGGCGGCGCCCACAGACGAGGCCGAGGCAGCGACGGACGACACGACTGAGAAGGCCACCGCGGCGGCGGCGGCGGCGGTGGCGGTGGCGGCGGCGGCGGCGGCGGCGGCGGCGGCGGCCGGGGGTCGGAAGTCGCCGCCGCCCTCCTGGTTGATGTTCTGCAGGCTGCCGCCGTGTTTGCCCGACTCGGAGACGGACGACTTGGCGCGCCCGGCGCCGCCGCCCGTCTCGTCGATGGCGCTCAGGTCCTCGAGTGAGCCGCCGTGCTGCCGGTGTGGGTCGCGCCGCCGGCGCCGCCGCGCCACTGTCGTCTCGAACGAGCCGCGCGACAGGTTGCAGCACGATCCTCCTGGGATTGGCAGCAGTCAGTCAGCGTCACCCAAAAGTCCCGGCAGGAGCGCAACAGCCATCGACATGCATCAAGGGACAAGCCGGATATGTATACGTACGAACTGATTTGAAAAATATCAATATCGAAACCCTGGAGCGACTGGCAAACGATGCCAGTACTATTCCGGGCCTGACAAAGTCAGATTGGACAATTTGCCGAGTTTGCGAGAGGTCGTGCGGCATGTCCCTATTCATCAGACTGACGGACACTGGTGGGCTTGGATGGCGGCCAGTCTCCATCGATTAGATGAACGACCCGAACTGACCGCGAACAGACGACCGCGGGCCGCGAATACACGGGGACGTTCCCGGTCTCTAGTGGTCCTAGCCTATGTATTGATGCGAGACGTTACATATTTGGAGACATGCCGCGACGATAGGGTTACATATCATGTATATAGAAAGCCGTGCCTGGCCGGCGGCGCGGCGCGCGGCGGCTCACCCTCGCGCGTGCGTCCGGCCACGCCGCGCTGTCGCGCCGCCGCCGTCTGCGCCTTGTCGCCGCCGATGTTGTCCAGCGAGCCGCCGGCGTGCGTGCGCGCCGCCAGACTGTCGCTCTCCTTGCGGCGGCGGCGCTCCTTGGGCTTTTTGTGCCGCTTGGGAGGGCGTTTGATGCTCTCCTCTCCCGACTCGCTCTCCTCTGCCTGCCTCAGCAGACCCTGGAGAGGGCGGGCGGGCGGGCGCGGTCACCGGCCGGACACAGCGACACCACGCGCCGCACAACTAGCAGCAGACGGAACAGCCGCCCACCAGAGAACCTCACAACCAGAGCAAGGAAAACACCAAATGCATATCGAGGTGGTCATCAGCACGATACTATTTCGCCAGTGATGCAAACAAAGAAAAAAAAAACAAGGACGAGCACGGGAAACAGAGACAAAGAGAAAGAGAGAAACGAAGAGAGTTAGAGAAAGAAAGAAAGAAAGAAAGAAAGAAAGAAAGAAAGAAAGAAAGAAAGAAAGAAAGAAAGAAAGAAAGAAAGAAAGAAAGAAAGAAAGAACGCTAACTTGGCATTTTTTCACGACCGGACATAGGCAGTCTAACTGACGCCATGCACTTATCACCAAATGACCCAAGCATTTCGATTGTTTGTTATTGAAAGTGGTAGGATATCCCCGTGGAAGGTTACTCAATGTGCTAACTGTACAATGTACATGTATAGTCGACTACAGAATGATGTTCCACTTTTCACAGGCAATTATTTGCCTGGAGTGGTAGGCTGTGCCGCATCACACGGGCTGAGTTCACAAATTATAGCTTTGTCCCAATGCGCACAATCGACACGCTTAATTGCGTGATAAACGGCACAACTTAGCGCTCCGGTCAACTGATAGCTTCTGAGGAGTGGAACATCATTCTGTAGTCGACTATACAGTGGGTCTATTTAATTAAGATCTCCAGAGCCACCACGTGGCGCTACGGTCGGGGTAGGGCGAGTCAAAATCCCGAGGGAAGTGAGGTCACCGGTCATTGTGGGGGAAGGAGGGAGGGGGAGTGACGCGGTATCACGGCGCATGGGGCGTGCGTAGCGCCGGGAGTGGGCCGCCCAGGGCCGCCCGCCACTGCGCCAAGGCTGAGGGGAGGGGAGGGGATGATGGTTGCGGCGTGTGCGTTCACTCTGGTATGGTGGCATCCTGTTCATGTGGAACCGGCAAGAATGCGACTGAAGGGAATCATTATCTCAAACAAACGGGCAAGCCAGAGGCAGGCCGCTGGCAGGCCGCTGCCAGGCGAAGTCAGTGAGGGGACCGGCCGTGCGCGGCTATGTGCGCACGTTAAAATTTGGACTCTTACCCCGCGTTCGATGTCTCCCGGACGGCAAAGATTCTATGCCGTCCGGGCCCGAAATGGCGTTCGATGTCGCACGGACGGCAAAGATTCTACGTGACGTCACGTAGAATCTTTGCTGTCCGCGCAGAATCTTTTGAGCGTACTACGGCGGGCAGAGAGGCAATGATGGCGCGTATTTCAAAAGCGGTGCAGCAGCTGTTTGCAGAAGTTGTTGACATTTGTGCGCGGTCTCTATGGAAACGTAAACTTGGGCCTTTTTCGAAACTGACGCACATTGTGTAAGTGGCGCACAAAATGGCCGGTCTCGTCGTCCGCCTGTGTGCTTCATCGAACGCAAAATAGAATATTCTGCGTAGAATGTTCTTCGTTCAGGGCCTCGGCTAACATGTTAACTACTGGGGCAAATGCCCCAGTAGAGTCGAGGAATGCCCCAGTAGTGGTCAGGCTTTGCCCAACCTCCACAAAATGAGAATACATCAATGTTAACGCACATTCTTTCATTCGGGAGCGGTTGAAGACGTTTATGGCAAGAAATCAGGGGCGGCGGAAGAGGGAGTGCATGGCGTGCAGCTGCACCCTCAATGTCTATAAAAAAAACATAGGCGTGCATTGGCAAACATATCTTTTTGCACCGCATAATCCATCTTCATTCGAAAGAGCGTCAAAAATAATGACGAAATTACTTCGGCCACTTTTTTGGTCACGTCAAAGGTCAGGTCATGGTGAAGGCCAAATTTCGCCGATTTTCAGGTCGAATATCGACAGTTTACAAGATGCCGGCGCATAACTCGGGAACCAATTAGAGCTACAGCACCGCGGAAAAGCGCATTTGATAGCCATATCAGCATGCTTTCTGGTTATTTCTCTTAGATTTGACCTAACGTCAACGGTTTTGCCTGCAAGGGGCAAAAACTACCAAAATAGAAGATTTCATGCCTTGCACGAGTTTTCTTTTACCGACATCGTGTTCCTCTCGTCGAGACGCATCAAATTAACTACAATTTCACCTTGAAGGTCAACGTGAAAATTCGACCTCAGGTAAGGTCATGATCTGACCGGAAATTGTCATGTTGCATATCAATCGATCTGCACCGTCGAGCCAAACACAACTAAGGCATTTTCATCGCTCTAGCATGCCTCTTTCAAAAGTTATTCGCGAAAAACTGTTAGATGCCATTCGTGAACTGAGATGACCTCAGGTGCATATAAACAAGGGTCACGGGTGCTATTTTCATGTTCAGTGTGTCAAAGTCACGTACAGTGTTTTATAGTGTTTAGAACGACTTTCGTCCAAAAGAGGTGGTTTTGAATTTTTTCCCATTGACTTATAATAGCGGTCGCAAAATTGAGCTGACCTTAGGTCCCCGATATGAAAATTCCGAGATATAAATTTTGTACATGCTGTTGCCCTTATCAATCGCTGGAAGTTTCAAAGCGATCGGTCACTCGGTGTAGCTACGACATTCATTGAAACATTTTATGAGGTGAGGTCACTTGAAGTGACCTGGTGACCTGATCTTGAATGACCTTGGTCTGAAATTTTACAACACGTGTAAAATTGATGGATGCTGGAGCGCCGCCGTTTTTTGAGATATCTGCGAAAAACCGCAGGAAAAACTGCATGTGTTCAACCTCCCCCCCCCCCCCCCCAGCAGGGCGCCAACACACTTTGACGATATGCCCCAGTAGTCAAATTTCCTTAGCCGAGGCCCTGCTTCGTCCAAGGAGACATCGAACGCGGCCTTAATTCTGACATAGACCAGGAATTGCTTGATCGGAGGGTGGAGAGCAGGGTCAACGCAACAAGCTCAGCTTAGCGAGACTTTGTCCTTATGATTCCTTTCTTTCAAAAGGTTCGGCCCAAATTTCTATTAATAAAAAGGGGGAGCCGAACCAGGTTGGGCCGGGTTGAACCCGGTTGGACCGGTGTCTTCACGCAATCATGTTAAAAAACAAAGGCTAATTTCGGGTCAAATATTTTTATTAACTGATCTTATTGTTTTTAGCTTAGGTACACGTATAATAACTTTTAGTTTTTAACTCCAGACTTCATGCACAAAAATGTGGCATTCGTCCACTGTTCCTCATCTTAGCGACTTGATTTGACCCTAAAGACCCATCTTACCAACAAAAAAATCACCTGCGTGATAATTAGGAGGGCGCCAGCCGGTCAAAAAACTGGCGAACGATGCGATCTTTCTATTGCTTGAATTATATTCAATGAAAATTTCAGGAGACATAAATAATCTTAATCCTTATAGCTACTGGGCGCCCGGAGCATTCGCTAGCATTTCATTGCCAGCTGCATTACCAACGTCACATTCGCATTACTTTGGGTTCACCATAGTTGACAGTAGATGAGCCGGCCATAGCAAACCCATGCTCTTTATCCTTTCCATCCAAGCAGCCAACTGCCAAGCGATATGGAACAACGCTGGAGTGCGCCATTTGCCTGCGGCAGTGCCCCAACAGCCGGGGCTGTTTGACAGGTCACCCGCACTGTGACCTCGCCACCCGATTTTTTCGACACTTAGTTATACCCTGACCCGAAAGGTCAACCAATGCTCTATGATCCTGAAATTGGGTGTCACAGGCTTCCCCTCTTCAAGGGGAGCACGCTCATTTTCTGCGAAGCTCTAGCCTGATCAGGAGTCGAGCAGCTGAAGGCTTCGATCAAACTGTGAGCGGCTGTGAAAACGCTAATTCGGACGAGGGTTAGGAGTACAACGGTAAGGGCCATTGTACCTCCGTCGCCACCAGGACCGCCTGGAGATAGCTGCTGGCTCCAGCGAGGCCCCCACACAGAGTGGCATTGCCGTTCCAAAAATTCCCCACACTTCAACATCATCTGACTACATAAACAGCGCTGCTGTATGAGCATATACCTTACTATACCTACCTATACAGCATGCATAGTGATTATGCTGCAGTCAACCAATGGTAATCTAGTGGCAAAAAAAAAAAAAACAGTTCCAAATTGGTTTATTATAGGTGTGGACATCACAGAGACATTACACATGAAAATGAGCTGGCAGAGTCCCACACTTAAGCTTGTTAGCTGCTAAGCATATTTACAGAGTTTAACCAATGGTTCTACAAGCTTCTGTGAATAAATTCTGGGTGACATTGCCCTTTTGCACCCCAGGCTCAAACCTGAATAAAAACCACACCAAATTGACTATTGTCCTACCCAGAGTGTGTTTTGAGATAACTTTCTGCAAAGGAATGTAATTTATGGTCCCTCCCTCGCCAAATCATCATCTAATTATTAATGAGATAATTTATACTCAGCACAATAAAACTAAATTTCAAACACTTGATAAACGGTATGCCTTATACAATAGTTGCACTGCATCTTAAATATGTATGAATTTGTCATTGGAAGTGGTGGACAGCATATCACTTAAACCTCTGTGATATTAGGAAGAATATGTTAGACCTTTTTTGGCAAAAACATGGCAATATAAGAAGTTAGTATTGAACCTGAAAGGTGCGCATAAAACAAACACAGTCAAGCCATCATAACTAACCTGAACAAGAGGAGATTTTCCTTGCATGTCGCCAGTATGTTTGTAGCTGCACACTTCATCCAGGAGACATTTGAGATCAGAATCCTTCATGTTCTCTAGGGTCTTCTCTGTCTCCTGAAAGACAGATGTCATGATGTTTGAAGCTAACTAACCACATTCAGTTATAAATGAGTCCTGCTTGATGCCATAGCTTTTCAATTGATACCTGATGATAATGACACCTTACGTTGTGAACCAGTAAGGTCTTAGAACAACTAGAACACTTCTTTTACATGAAACTACATCACAGATTATGATGCCTGCCAAACAAACAGAAATATAGCTGTCTATCTTTACTTAAGGGCAAGCCTTTAAGTAGCCTGAAGATGAGCCAATTGCAAAAAAAAAAATATCAGCCAGCCTGACATTTTTCGTAGAAATAGCTATTTGCCAATGGTTGTTGAAAATCTTAGGTGACTTCTTAGCTAAATGACAACAAGCAGCTTAAATGCTGGTAAAACTGGTCTCATATATGCACTTACAAAATCATGTATGTAGTTTGAATTTTAAATATTTTTCCTTGACATTTAATTGAAATTGCTATAAAAGCAAATGCTATATTGTTTGGCAATTTTTTAAACAACAGTTCATTCTCAATTCACAATTGCAACATAAACCTTGGCTTGGGAATGAACTGTTGTTCCAAAATTTGTCTAACAATTAAATATTTGATTTTTATTACAATTTCAATTAACTATCAAGGAAAAATGTCATTTGAAATTCAAATTACATACATAAATCATGATGTCCCTTGCTAGAGCACTAGGCATACTATTTCATAGAAAACAGGATTGCATTTCAAAAAACTGAAATGCCTTTTAGGTAACCAGTGAAAAATGGAAACTTCCCATGGAGTGAAAGGGACGAACCTTAACCCGCGCCCTGCTGGGGGGGGGGGGGTGTTTGAACACCCCCCCTTGTGGTTTTTCGCGAATATCTCAAAAACGGCGGATTTCTCGCTCCGCGCCGCCGTTTTTTGTACACCTTATCATACATCAATTCTACACATGTTGTGAAAATTTCAGACCAAGGTCATTCAAGGTCAGGTCACCAGGTCACTTGAAGTGACCTCACCTCATAAAAACTTTCAATGTCTGTCATAGCTACACCGAGTGACCGATCGCTTTGAAACTTTCAGCGATTGCTAAGAGCAATGGCATGTACAAAATGTATATCTCAGAATTTTGATATCGATGACCTAAGGTCAGGTCAATTTTGCGACCTCCCCATTATAAGTCAATGGGAGAAAATTGAAATGCGCCTCTTTTGGATGAAAGACATTATAAACACTCCCAAAAACCGAATTACAAGTGGTTTAGACACACTGAACTTAAAAATGGTGTCCGTGACCCTTGTTTATGCCCTGAGGTCATCTTAGGTCACGAATGGTATCTAACAGTTTTTCGCAAATAACTTTTGATAGAGGCATGCTAGAGCGATGAAAACGCCTTAGATGTGTTCAGCTCGACGATACGGATCGACTGATATGCAACATGACCCTTTCCGGTCAGGTCATGACCTTGACCTGAGGTCAAATTTTCAAGTTGACCTTTCAAGGTCAAGTTATAGTTCATTCGATGCGTCTTGACGAGAGGAACACGATGCCGGTAAAAGTAAGCTCGTACAAGGCTTGGGTCAAAAGTTATTGCAGAAAACTGTTTTCAAAAAAATCGGCTATTTTTGCAGTTTTTGCCCCCTGCAGGCAAAACCGTTGACGGTAGGTCAAATCTGAGAGAATTACTCAGAAAGGGCGTTAATAGGGCTATCGAATGCGCTTTTCCGCGGCGCTGTAGCTCTATTGGTTCCCGAGTTATGCGTTGGCTTCTTGGAAATTTTCGACATTCGACCTGGAAATCGGCGAAATTTTGCCTTCAATGACCTCTGGTGACCTGACCTTTGACCTGACCAAAAAATTGACCGAAGTGATTTCGTCATCATTTTTTACGCTCTTTCGAACGCCGCCTTCCGCGTATCGCTACGTGGCCCAGGAGCCGAGTTACAAGGGGGGGGGTGTTCAAACACCCCCCCCCCCAGCAGGGCGTGGAAATCCAGGACCCCCAGCAGGGCGCGGGTTAAAGGACCCTCTCAACTTCAAAAAAGTTTATGCATCGTCATAAAAGTGATGTGCCATGGTTCAGAAAGAGCAAAAATGATTATTTAGGTACCTACCAAATTTCACTCAAAATATTCACCAGTTTTTTAGTTATACACTTCACTTTTGTTTACTTTTTGGAGCCTGCTCTGTTCCTATGACATCATTTAGAAGCAATAATTTGGTGTCTTGAAAGTGTGGCAGATGTTGCGCGCAAAGCAGTAGGCGGAACTATGGTCATGAGTACCCAAATATAGGAACGTTCCCATTTTTGGGAACAGAGTTCCCAAATATGGGAACGGGCGTTCCCATTTATGAGAACGGAAGGCAATTTTTCGGCCGTTCGCCCACTAAAACTCAAAAGTGCATCACGTCTCAAAAAAGTGCACGCTGATTTGAGTATCTACTAAATCTCCATAAAGTTATCTTTAATCTGACCGTGGAACAAGGAAATTGACCGTGGAATGATATTTTTATTGATTTTTTAAAAATGACAGAATGGTGGAAATATGAGTTATACGACATTTAACATGCAATTTTAAGGAAAATGAAGCATTTTTAACATTTTGAGGTCAAGTATAATAATTTTCGCCTGGTTATGAAGTTTCATTCTAGCGACACCAGATGCTGACATATGCAAGCGAACACGCGGACAGTCCCGAGGTAATATTGTTGACTTTTGGTGTCGGGGCGATCGACCGCGTGGAACGTCAGTGATTTTACCGAACTACTGTTGTAAACTCAGTTTCAGTGGTTTAAAATCATTCAGCTGTATTTTATCAGCCCTGAAAGACATATTTTATTTGGATGCTAGCTGTTTCGCGTTGTTTTATAAGCAGCGTCATGAGCGTGGTTTTTGTCTTCGGCGTTTCTAAGCATGATCGTTTGGGGGGAATTTCTCTGATATAGGTCGCTCTGTGTGGCTTATTTATAATTTTTATGCTGATTTCGATCATACCTCATGCCCATCCTACCAGGCCTTTTGCCACTTACACTCATTAAGAAAGGAAAAAACTAGATTTTCATTGGGACTAGGTGTTTTGAGGGTGTAACATATTCAGCGTTCCCATTTTTGGATACTTCTTGTGCTCGTCAACTCTCGGTGATTAGCAGACAGGTGCTTGACATGTCTCCACCCTCGGCGCGGACGGTGGATATAGGTATGGAAGACCTTGTTGAACATCGCTGAGCGTTGTGGATTACGTAATCCTGCAGAGGGGGGCGTGCCCGCTGCGAGATCGACGGGAATAAAAGCGCAGAAGACCGGGCGAAACATGCAACGGTCTTGCCGGAAAGGTCATCTGATGATTGTTGCGTTAACAATAATTTGCGGCGTTGGACGTGATGCTTGTTAATGAAAAGAGCCCCTGAAAGGCGTCGGTGAAATCGTTCCCAATTTTGGGTACGCCGTTCCCATAATAAGGAACGCTTGCAGCGCCAGTGTACGAGAGCGTTCCCAAATTTGGGCTCGCGGCCCGGGTGATGGACTGCTTTAGAAATAGGGGAACGATTTGAAACTACGATGGGCCTTACAATATCAAACTCTTTCCCAACAATATTGAGACAACTATCAGGCGGTTCACGATCGTTTTATATTTTTTGGACGTCATTTAACAGTTCTTTTTCTTGTTTTAAATAATGCCTACATGGCGTTCCCATATTTGGGTTTATCGTTCCCAAACATGGGAACGAAAGTGCGTTCCCGAAAATGGGTACGCTTGACCATAGTTCCGCCTACTGAAAGCGGCATATAACTACCACCACTGTTTAACAAGGTTTTAACATCAGATTTTAAAACTGCTAGATCTGTGCTGACATCACAAATTCAGAGGGGGCATTCAAATGTATTAGCCCGTCTAAATCCAAGTGCTGCAACTTTGAAATTAAATATATTCTATTTAACGCATTTCTCAACCTTGCGAGTACCGAAGCCACCAATCGTGAGCCAGGCACCCCACTTTGGCAACACTCACTCAAATCCAATGTCAGGGTGGGATGGTCACTTCAAAGCATATCAAAAAATGTTTCGACCAATAAAACTGAAAATAAAATGCAACCACAAACTACGTTCATAGGTATTGATTCGCACTCAAAATCCTTCAAAATTGACATTACCTTGCTCATAGTTGTCTTGTTCTTATTCATTTTGTCCGTGTTGTTCTGTGATGAATTTAAACAAAAATTATTATGGGGAAATATGTAGTATTTTTGATCCAAGACATCGTTGGCTAACAAAAATAACGTTTCCAACACGCTCTCCACCAAAACACCCACACACTCAACATATCCATCTTGTGTTGCGGCAAATAAATATCAGATGCTTCATAAATGTAGAAACTTTATGTTCTATCGCACCAATGAGGCGCGTAAGAAATTCTTGCTAAGCCAATTGCAGCACGGAACGTAGCTCGCAGGCGGAACGGGCGGAACCATCATCGGTGGGTCATCAACCTCAACTTATCAATAACGCAGACTTCAAAAAGAAAAATGATGGAATTGTAAGGCATTAGGTATAACCTCACATTCTGCACCTTTCTATGGAGACAAGGAAATATCAAGTGACTGTGTGTAATTCGACTTGCTGATATACTATGACGTCATGAGTCTTAAAAATACAATATAACGCCTTGTGGTTCTGTGACGTTTATGGATGTCTGAGACGATTTCGGCTCCTTTTGTTTTTCCGTGCTCCGCGTGGTGCACAGCATTGCGTGCGGCGGGGTTGGTGTGATGTCGGGAATTCATGAGCATATTTTGTAATATATAATTGTAATAGGGTATTGTTTTCTGAATTTCGAATGTGGTGATAAGATCGTCCCACTTCAACCTTAATTTGTATTTGTCGCCAAACGTGCTGATCAGTTTCTGAAACAGAAAGCTTTTTTTAACTGCGATTCAAAAATGTCGTCCAAACAAAAAAGAAAGCTAGATATTGACGAACCTGTCTCCAGTAAAATGAAGTAAGTATTACTTTCACTTAATTTCAATAAACCCATGGATATTTCATGGCCGAATTAAACAATGAGATAGCTACACCTCCAACCTCATTTATTCAAATTCATGTGTTGGGTCTCCTTAATCCGGGGTTTCAGTAAAGCTGGTGTCACCGTCGCTGATAACTGGAAAATGTGTTGATGAAGCTAGAGAAAAACATAATCATACTTGACCTACAAAGTTGCCAACTAACCTACAACCTACCAACCTACGATATTAGTAGAGCAGACATCACACGAAGGTTTTCCAACCATGGAGAGGCGCTATGCCTGGAGGTACTTCTTTCTAAGAAAACCTAAACAAACCTAACCTAACCTGACCTAACCTAACCTACAACCAACAACCTACAAACCTACAAACCTACCCTACAACCTACAAACCTACAGCGCCTCTCCTTGGTTGGAAAACCTTTGTGTGACGTCTGCTCTACTAATGCCCAACCTACAACCTAACCTTACTACCTACCGCCTACGGTGACACCAGCTTTACCGATACTGATACCGATCCAGGTATTCAGACAAATCAGTTGGGCAAACTAGACTTCTAGAATCAAAATATAGAGGCATCAATAATTTGATTCTGGTGGGAGGGGTCATGACCAAATATGGGCATGGAATCAATTTTTTGATTCAATTGGGTACACTTTTGACTTCAAATGTATCATTACCGTTGAAAAAGGCCCATGGCGGTGAGATTTTTATTTAAATAGGTAGAGAAATGTGGTAGGTATACAAAAAGTGTTACCTCGTCCTCAAAACTAAGAAACTGTCACATATACACTTGTACTATAAACCAACTGTAAAACTTCTTAGTAGATTAACTAAGGGAATGGCAACACTGCAGAGTACCTGTTTCCTGGAACCAAAATTATCAGCCATAAACATTCCACCAACTTAAATACGGGACAAACCTGATGTCCAATGATGCTGGTCTCTAGAGGTTGAACATGATGTAGAGTTTAGACATATGATGAGATGTCAAGTGGAGATGTTATGGTCACATTGATCAGTGATGTAGGTATGGAATGATGCTCTACATATAGCTGTATTTATTATATGGCCCCTCACCTTCTTGCAACCAGTGTCATTGGTATGTTCCTCACTTGATGCTGATATTTTCAGACGAGAGGACAAACGGCCAAAGGACAATGACGACAGGTAAAGTGGAAATCGAAAGTCAATATGTAACCTCTTGAATATTAAGTTTTAGTTTTGTGAAGCTTTATTTAATTGTCATGTATGTTGTTCTGGCCTGTCTTCATTTCATCAGTTGACCTGAGACCTTGAAATTGTTGCCAATCGACACATTTAATGACAAGCAACAAGGTAACTTTTTGCGACTCTGCTTCTCAATGGAAGGGGCGAAACAGCGAGGGTGTCTCCCATTTTCTCGTACTCATACCTCTCCCATTTTCTCGGTCGTAGAGAAGGCATGCTGAAAACTGAAACGTTTGACAGATGTTTCACGTGTGTAGTGTACTGTAAACTATAAATCAGTGCATTATTCTTTTAGTGATGGTAGTGATGCCTCATATGTATGTGGTTTCATTGGCCCATCCATGGTTCGATCGACCAGTCCTTGGATTGACCCGTCCGCGGTTGGATGGGCCCTTATCGCGGTCGGAGATGGCCCGTCGACCCCTGGTTCCCGCTGTGTGTGGCGCGCGCTGACGGCTCGGTGGCCGGTTTCAGTCGGGAGGAGCGGAACGCGGCCGGCGGCGGCGACCCGTCGCGCCACGAGGAGCCGCCGCGCACCATGCCGGCCATGCAGACCAACCCGCTGACGGGCCTGCCGTACACCAGCCGCTACTACCAGCTGTTCAGGAAGCGCATCGGCCTGCCCGTGTTCGAATACAAGGAGAAGTTCTTGGAGCTGATGGACAACCACCAGAAGATCGTGCTGGTCGGAGAGACCGGCTCCGGGAAAACCACGCAGATCCCCCAGTGGTGAGTGGCAACGGTGGGCTGGGCGAGGTCAGTGGCAACGGTGGGCTGCTGTAGATCAGTGGCAACGGTGGGAGATACTGCAGGGATGAGTGGCAACGATGGGGTACTGAGGATGGCGAGGGACCGGCAGGGGGGGGGGGACATTTCTGGACGGCTGAGTGAGATAGGAGCAATATGTTTTCAGTTAGCGTCCCCTTTAGTTAGTCGTCTACGAATGCTGCTAACTCCCGTCCCCGTGTGTGATCGCCTGCTAACGGCTGTTCGTCTCTGTGTGCGCCAGGTGCGTGCACTGGGCGCGCGCCAAGGGCAAGAAGGGCGTGGCGTGCACGCAGCCGCGGCGGGTGGCAGCCATGTCTGTGGCACAGCGCGTCTCCGAGGAGATGGACGTGGCCATCGGCCAGGAGGTGGGATACAGCATCCGGTTCGAGGACTGCTCCTGCCCCAAGACGTTGCTCAAGTACATGACGGACGGTATGCTGCTGCGAGAGGCCATGTCGGACCCCATGCTGGAGAACTACCAGGTGAGACGTCAGACGGCGCAGCTCAGCCAAACAGCGCCGGCGTGTGCAGCTGTGCTGAAATGTTTCTGTGCTACATTTTCAGCTGTCGCTATCTCATCCATCAGCTAGAATGGAAAATATGTGTTAGCTGTATCGGTACCTGCTGCAACTGACGACGTAACAATAGCAGACACGTCATTAGTAGTGGCTGAGACCGTTGGTGGTTGGGTGTGGCGGCGCGTTCACCTCCCCGACGCTGGCCGCCAGGTTCTGCTGCTGGATGAGGCCCACGAGCGCACGCTGGCCACCGACATCCTGATGGGCGTCATCAAGGAGGTGGTCAAGCAGCGGCCCGACCTCAAGATCGTCATCATGTCGGCCACGCTGGACGCCGGCAAGTTCCAGCAGTACTTTGACGGCGCGCCGCTGATGAACGTTCCCGGCCGCACGCACCCGGTCGAGATTTTCTACACTCCCGAGCCGGAGCGCGACTACCTGGAGGCGGCCATCCGCACCGTGGTGCAGATCCACATGTGCGAGGAGGTCGAGGGCGACATGCTGCTCTTCCTCACCGGTCAGGAGGTAAGACAGGAGGTCAGGAGGGGGGACTTATCCCATTGGGTGGAGCGGGATGTAACGAACGGAAAAAACTTGCCCAATGGTTGATAGTTTGGTAGAGTGACTGACTCACCTTACAAAGCAAGAGATACGTATAGGTGACTTATTCACCGGACAGGACAGGGGGAAAGATTGCCATTCGTGTCAGGAGGGGGACGGCCTGTTTCTCATCATACGGAGTAATTAGGGTCAAGGGGAAGGGGGTGTCCTTCTAACTCCACAGGATAGCATGAGGGCGCGGGCTGACATTCCCCGCGCCCCGCCGGCCGCAGGAGATCGAGGAGGCCTGTAAGCGGCTGAAGCGGGAGATTGACAACGTGGGCCCCGAGATCGGCGAGCTGAAGTGCATCCCGCTGTACTCGACGCTGCCGCCGGCGCTGCAGCAGCGCATCTTCGAGCCGGCGCCGGCCAACCGGCCCAACGGCGCCGTCGGACGCAAGGTGGGCGGCAGGGGGAGGCGCTAAAGGGGGGGGGGGGTGCAGTGGGCAGAGTCGGGAGCTACTGTGTTGGCGCGTTTATTAGTGCGACCCTCATGGCGGCTGCTGGGGTGTACATTTACAAGAGAGGTTATCGGTGGATGACCGAATATCTGCCAGCAAGGGGTCTATTTTATTGTTGGCTGGGTGTCCAGGGGACTGGTTGAGCTCGCTGTAGTCGTTACCAGGTAGCCGGGGCGCAGTATAACTCCGCACGGTGATGTTTCACGCGCTGCGGTCGCTCACTCGGCCCGCCGCCGTCCGCGCGGCCTGCCGGAGTTCGCTGTGACCTGTGTGTGACCGTGTTTCCCGGACCGACCGGTGATGTGTGACCGTGTTTCCCCGGCCGGCCGCCAGGTGGTGGTATCGACAAACATCGCCGAGACGTCTCTAACCATCGACGGTGTGGTGTTCGTGATCGACCCGGGCTTCTCCAAGCAGAAGGTCTACAACCCGCGCATCCGCGTGGAGTCGCTGCTCGTCTCGCCCATTAGCAAGGCGTCGGCGCAGCAGCGCGCCGGCCGCGCCGGCCGCACCAAGCCCGGAAAGTGCTTCCGGCTGTACACGGAGAAGGCGTTCAAGTCTGAGATGCAGGACAACACGTACCCGGAGATCCTGCGCTCCAACCTGGGCACCGTGGTGCTGCAGCTGAAGAAGCTCGGCATCGACGACCTGGTGCACTTTGACTTCATGGACCCGCCGGCGCCGGAGACGCTGATGCGCGCGCTGGAGCTGCTCAACTACCTGTCGGCGCTGGACGACTCGGGCAACCTGACCGACCTGGGCGCCATCATGGCCGAGTTCCCGCTGGACCCGCAGCTGGCCAAGATG